CACAGCAATGGCATGGGATCCTTGATATTTTTTCATTTTTGGTGGGGTAAATGCATCAGTTGAACTGGTGGCTAATGATCAAATGGAGGTTGGCCAAACCCTCTTTGGCCAATGTTTCAACTTTGAGAGGCTGGGGACTGTGGAGCACTTCTTCCTGACCTAGGGCTTTTCGTTTTGAGGGCACGGCTCAAATGCAGAAACTTTTCGGAGGCCTCCGGGGGTTGGGTGTTTACACCCTTGGATAGAAGGTGCAGCTCTTATCCTGATGGTGAAATTAATTATAAATGACTCAGGAGTTCTGGCTGGATCCCTATTTTCAACCGGACATGTTTGAACCGGATGGATAGAAATTGGCCAATAAGGTTAGCTTGCCAGATGATGTTCATGAAGAGTAGCGGACATGAGTCCATGTGCCTTTTAGTGTACACGCCAAATCTAACAAGTCTCACCACCCTAGAATTCTACACTAAGAAGGCTTGCAAGCTGCCAGCTGCTTCCCTAGTTGCTCAGAATCGTGGCAGCCTCTGTGACAGGCGCCACGAGTTTGCACATCTTACATGGTGCCCATACTGCAAGAGGCAGTGCTGGCTTGCGGCGTGGGACTTCATGATTTCTGCACCGAAAGAGGGCAGGGCATCTACCAGGTTTTTTTGGATGCGTGTGTTTGTCATTGTTTATCTACTTTGGCTCTCGGGTGCCTTGCTTTTTTTAGGGTGCTTTGGCTTTCAAAAAATTGCACATATTCAGAAATAGGATTTCACCAAAACATCCAGAACATCACACATACGCACCAGCAGAAACATGTCACTTGATGCACCGTGGGTGCAGGTGATGGTGAAAGGAGTCTGGAGGCAACTTTGCTCCGAGAAACAGGCAGGTTAAACCCGGTGTATAATGTACCCAAGTGCAGCCGGTTCAAAAAGGTGCTGAGATAATCTGAGATATTTGTGCCGGGCAATTCACACCTAAGATCACTCATCACTGGTGCAATTGCCGGTCGAGGCTCATTTTCCCTCTGATCTTTTGCACTGCCGCTTCCATCTGACATTTCTAAGAAAATAAGGGTTTTGGCCTTGGAACCAACACGGGGCTTACATGTCCTCACATCCCTTTGAGAAAAAATCCGGAGGTGCACGACTGAACTTGCAAATGTGAAAATCAAATTGACACATGTGACAAAACCGCACACGGCGGCCACTGTCTTTCAGCAACAGCTGCTGATGCTGCTGCTGCTGATGATGATGATTATGATGATGATGCTGATGATGATGCTGCTGCTGATGATGATGATGATGATGCTGATGATGATGATGATGATGCTGATGATGATGATGATGATGATGCTGCTGATGATGATGACCATGATGCTGATGCTGATGATGATGATGCTGATGATGATGACCATGATGCTGATGCTGATGATGATGATGCTGATGATGCTGATGATGATGATGATGATGATGATGCTGATGATGATGCTGCTGATGATGATGATGCTGATGATGATGATGATGATGATGCTGATGCTGCTGATGGTGATGCTGATGATGATGATGCTGATGATGATGATGATGATGCTGATGATGATGATGCTGATGATGATGATGATGCTGATGATGATGATGCTGCTGATGATGATGGTGATGCTGATGATGATGATGATGCTGCTGCTGATGATGATGATGTTGCTGATGATGATGATGATGCTGATGATGATGATGATGATGCTGATGCTGCTGCTGATGATGATGCTGATGATGATGATGACCATGATGCTGCTGATGATGATGATGCTGATGCTGCTGCTGCTGATGATGATGATGCTGATGATGATGGTGATGATGATGCTGCTGATGATGATAATGCTGATGATGATGATGCTGATGATGATGATGATGATGCTGATGATGATGACGATGCTGATGATGATGATGATGCTGATGATGATGATGCTGATGATGCTGCTGATGATGATGATGCTGCTGATGATGATGATGATGCTGATGATGATGATGGTGATGCTGATGATGATGATGATGCTGCTGCTGATGATGATGATGTTGCTGATGATGATGATGTTGATGTTGATGCTGATGATGATGATGCTGATGATGATGATGATGCTGATGATGCTGATGATGATGCTGATGATGATGATGATGCTGATGATGATGATGCTGCTGCTGATGATGATGATGCTGATGCTGATGATGATGATGATGATGCTGATGCTGCTGATGGTGATGCTGATGATGATGATGCTGATGATGATGATTATGCTGCTGATGATGATGATGATGCTGATGATGATGATGCTGATGATGATGATGCTGATGATGATGATGGTGATGCTGCTGATGATGATGATGCTGCTGCTGATGATGATGATGTTGCTGATGATGATGATGATGTTGATGCTGCTGCTGATGATGATGCTGATGATGATGATGCTGATGATGATGCTGATGATGATGATGCTGATGATGATGATGCTGATGATGATGATGCTGATGATGATGATGATGCTGATGATGATGATGCTGATGATGATGATGCTGATGATGAAGCTGATGATGATGCTGATGATGATGATGATGACCATGATGATGCCGATGATGATGTTGATGATGATGCTGATGATGATGATGATGCTGATGATGATGATGACGATGATGCAGCTGATTATGCAGCAGATGATGATGATGATGCTGCTGATGATGATGATGATGCTGATGATGATGATGGTGATGCTGATGTTGATGATGATGCTGCTGATGATGATGACGATGCTGCTGCTGATGATGATGATGATGCTGATGATGATGATGATGATGATGCTGATGATGATGATGGTGATGCTGCTGATGATGATGATGATGCTGATGATGATGATGGTGCTGCTGATGATGATGATGCTGATGATGATGATGATACACGCCAAATCTAACAAGTCTCACCATGCTAGAATTCTACACTAAGAAGGCGCCACGAGTTTGCACATCTTACATGGTGCCCATACTGCAAGAGGCAATGCTGGCTTGCGGCGTGCGACTTCATGATTTCTGCACCGAAAGAGGGCAGGGCATCTACCAGGTTTTTTTTGGATGCGTGTGTTTGTCATTGTTTATCTACTTTGGCTCTCGGGTGCCTTGCTTTTTTTAGGGTGCTTTGGCTTTCAAAAAATTGCACATATTCAGAAATAGGATTTCACCAAAACATCCAGAACATCACACATACGCACCAGCAGAAACATGTCACTTGATGCACCGTGGGTGCAGGTGATGGTGAAAGGAGTCTGGAGGCAACTTTGCTCCGAGAAACAGGCAGGTTAAACCCGGTGTACAATGTACCCAAGTGCAGCCGGTTCAAAAAGGTGCTGAGATAATCTGAGATATTTTTGCCGGGTAATTCACACCTAAGATGGATTGAAGACACAGGACAAAGAGTCTCTTGAGGTTTTCGATTCATAGATGTCACGACTCGGCTAGCCTCTCTGCTAGCTGAAGCTGCGCTCTAGCAAGGTTGATAGCCGGGCAGAACCGCTCATCACGTTTGCCCGAATACATGTCAGAACTTACGTTAGGATCATTCATGATTAGTGTTTGGACATATGTTAGGTTTTTTTTGCCAAAAACAGATTAGGCGAAAAATATATGATACAGTATGTATGTATGTATGTATGTAATGTAATGTAATGTAACGTAACGTAACGTAACGTAACGTAATGTAATGTAATGTAATGTATGTAATGTATGTATGTATGTAATGTAATGTAATGTAATGTAACGTAACGTAACGTAATGTAATGTAATGTAATGTAATGTATGTAATGTATGTATGTATGTATGTCTGTCTGTCTGTATGTATGTATGTGTGTATGTGTGTATGTGTGGTATGTGTGGTATGTGTGGTATGTGTGGTATGTGTGGTATGTGTGGTATGTGTGGTATGTGTGGTATGTATGTATGTATGTATGTATGTATGTATGTATTGATGTATGTATGTATTGTATGTATGTATGTATTGTATGTATGTATGTATGGTATGGTATGTATGGTATGGTATGTATGGTATGGTATGTATGGTATGGTATGTATGTATGTATATGGTATGTATGGTATGGTATGTATGGTATGGTATGTATGGTATGGTATGTATGGTATGGTATGTATGGTATGGTATGTATGGTATGTTATGTATGGTATGGTATGTATGGTATGGTATGTATGGTATGGTATGTATGGTATGGATGTATGGTATGGTATGTATGGTATGGTATGTATGGTATGGTATGTATGGTATGGTATGTATGGTATTGTATGTATGGTATTGTATGTATGGTATTGTATGTATGGTATTGTATGTATGGTATTGTATGTATGGTATTGTATGTATGGTATTGTATGTATGGTATTGTATGTATGGTATTGTATGTATGGTATTGTATGTATGTATGTATGTATGGTATTGTATGTATGTATGTAATGTAATGTAATGTAATGTAATGTAATGTAATGTAATGTAATGTTATGTATGTATGTATGTATGTATCAAATGTATGTATGTATGTATGTATGTATGTATGTATGTATGGAATGTAAGGTAAGGTAATGTAAGGTAAGGTAAGGCAATGTAAGGTAAGGTAATGTAATGTAATGTAATGGTATGTATGTATGTATGTATGTATGGAATGTAAGGTAAGGTAATGTAAGGTAAGGTAAGGTAATGTAATGGTATGTATGTATGTACGTAGGTATGTAGGTAGGTAGGTAGGTATGTAGGTATGTATGTATGTATATACACCACCACAGGTGCATCATACCCCCCCCATCCCATGGGGGGGGGGTGGGAACACGGGACACGGGACCATATATATATATATCTACCATAAACCATACTTCGCCTAGTTATTTGCCTTACGTCAGCTGAAACGCTCTGGTTTCAGGGCAAAAATCCTTAGTATTTTAGATCGGTCCCATGGAATATCCCAATAAATCCCCATGGTAATGGTTGGTTATTATCCCATTTCCATCCATGAACTATATATATTATATAGATACAATACAGATTCACATCCATGAAGATCAAATAAGATCGGAAAAAAACCATGGACAATTCCAGACTTCCATGGAAACATCAATGGTTTACCATGACACCCCCAGGCTCCCCCTCCCAGGCCCCAGCTCTCCAGGCCCTGGTGGTCTGCGCGCGCCGCGGCGACTTGGCACAGCTGTCGAACCACGCCATGCTGCGTCAGAAGGTACTCACATTGGAGGCGATTGAGCTCGGGGGTTGTGGAAAATGGCCCATAGATGATTTTCCCAGCCAGAAAGCTCCATTACCTCCATTTATTTTGGGGATTTTCAGTCATAACCAGATGTTACTATGGTTGAAACATTTTTCTCAAGCCAATCATGGCATGTTGACCACTGATCAACTGGTCTGGTCAACGTTGTTATACTTTGCGAACTGGAAGCCATGGGGTTCGAGGGTGAACTCAAAGGAAACCGGGCGGAAAAAAAAATCGCCAGAAAAATGTGTCCAGTTTCACCATGAAACGTGGATGATGATATCTACAGATTATACCATCTGGCAAACTAACACTTTGCGAACTGGATAAATGGCGATATAGAAATAGTTGATTTACCCAGCTATAAAATGGTGGATCTTTCCAGTTCGTTATGTAAACGTTTACCAGGCCGGGTAGAAGAAAATTAATGATTTCAGCATCAAGAATGGGGTTTCCCCATGGGGTTGCCAATAGGGTGAAGGGTGCAGTTCGGGCTATTTTTTATTAGGTACAATCATTATGGTGAAATACCACCATGGTGAAATACGGATATCACCGCACCTGTGTAATTTTGGCCATTTAACCACTTACTAAACTTACTCCAGTTGATTGAAAGTCAAAAGGGGACGTAGTGTATGTTCATAAAAGTCTCCAAAGATAAAGTAGTAATCTATCACTCTCTCTAAATGTGATTTGACCAACTTCCATCGAACTTTTGGATTAGCTGGTTTGAAGTATCACTATGATTTAATAAGGCTTCACTTTTCTATTTCCTCGGCGTTGCTATAGCTGGTTTTTCATGTATACTCAGGGGTGGTAAATGTCCTAATTTTTCACACCACCCAGCAAAAACTGGGAGATAATCTCCGGCAGCCCGGCAGCTCTTCAAGTTAAAACTCCCCGAAAGCAGGTATTTACCAAGGCCTGCGTGGAGGATCATCTAGGTGCTGAAAAAAACCCATGGTGATCCTCCAAAGTCCTCTTTTTTTTGTGGGCTATCCCATGAAAATCGTAGTTTTTTGGTTGACCATATTTTGTTGGGATATTCCCTTACATAGGCCCTATATAGGCCTTATATATGATAGGTACCTCCAATTTAGGATCCTGAAATTCCCATTGATCTAAATCAGTAGGTGAATCCATTGACTGGGGGATGAACTCAGCCCATTTACCAATTTACGAAGCACAAAATTCGATCCATGGGATGATCCTCCCATGGATGTCCACAGGAACAGATGCCCTCCGAGGAGCAAGAGGAGCTGCGAAGCTGGCTTTCAATTGGCGAAAGATAGGGACACCTTGGACTCGAAAAATGGATGGATTTCACATGATTATCATGATTTCACCATCAAAATCCATAGAACTCTGGGATTTGTCTGAGTAAATCGACTGGAGGGGTAGTATAGTACAACTTAATCATTGGGTGATGTTAATCGTAACCAGCAAAAACACGTTTGCTTTAACAGAGAATCTTTCAGATGGCACTTGTGAGAACTTGACAGGTTCAAGCTTGGATTTCAGATGAAATTGAGGATTTACCCTCCGGTAGCCAAACAAAACAAGCTCGGACCCTTGTTGTGAAAAACAAGGATCTACAGCTGGGAAAATCATCGAACGAAATGGTGTTTTCCAGCCATGTTTGATTACTGGAGGGTCATGATAAAACCAATTTGCCCAGCAAAAACTTCATGGATTTCCGATTTGCCCACCAAAAAGGGCGACAACAGAATGGTGGAGTAGAGCCGGTTCCCTGTTATTCAAAGAACGTGTCATCTACGAGTTGTGACATGCCATCCGGAGGAAACACGGCCCATTTGTTTTACGGCTGATCCTACATCCAGGTAGTGTGGGGAATGTGGGGAACACATTGATGTGATCCTTGAAACTCATACTGTGCACATAGACAGGGTTGACGATTGACATACCCTCTGGTAAACTAACATAGCTATTGAAAATGGCCATTTATAGTGGATTTACCCATAAAAAATGGTGATTTTCCATAGTTACGTTAGTCATTACCAGAGGGTATGTGGTTCTTATGAGACAGCGATGATTTTTTTCCAGCTTTTTCCATCCCCAGGAGATCCTGGGGCTCTTCAAGTCATTACCCGGGCAGATCCTCACCGGAAATGAGTGGGGCTGGTGGTTGTCATCGAAACATATGGAGGTTTCCTAAGTCAAGGGGGTACCCCTGTTCATCATCCATCTTAGATTGGTATTTTCATGGACCTTCCATGAAATAAACCATCCAGCTATTGGGGAACACCCGTATACCTTCCATTTTCAGGCACACCCACCTCGAAAAAAGAACGTGTTTAGTGAGCTATCAACACGATCAACACGAGCGTAGAGCGAGGATATATAGTTTGACTGAGAACCAGGCAGCAGCGGCAGCATCCTTCAATTCTTGTTGGTCATTCCCAACGTTGTCAGGCCACGGCCAATCAATGTTCCAAAGTCTGCAGAACGCGACCAAACATTGTCTAGGTTTCCCCGGACGTGTTTGATAACTTTGTGCGCTCCCAACGTTGTAAGGTCTCGACCAATGTCGAATGGGTCCCGGACGTGGTTCAATGACACGATTCTTCACGACCGGTTTTTTTAAGGTCACGACTGGTCAATGTTTGGTACGTCGACACGATCAAATGAATGAACAGTATGTGTTGATTTTGTACACTAAGAAACGAACGAAACATAATCTTTTGCCGCGCAGTCTATAGAAAATCATAAAGCAACATTCAAACAAAACATGTTCAGATGTATGTAAGAGCTTGAGCACATGTATGACCAGGAAAATGGCAAGTAAGCACGTCACAACTGCTCTGGATAGCAGCATGTTGCACTTGAGGAGTAAAAGTGAATCTCTGGGAACACCTAGTTAAGACTCCTTTTTTAACTTCTGCACGCAGAAAAGAAACAACTCATCACGTCGAATTGAAGCAACTGAGTTTGGGACATTGCACCATATCACAGATTCTGTGGTTGTGAACAATAATCTTGCTGGTTTTCTATGAACCGTCTTCTTTTTTGGTTAGTCCCTGCTCGTCACAAAGTGACTCCGGCGCTTGATCTGCTGACCCAGTCAAGATACTGCGGGCAGCTTCTCTGGCGTAGCCCACATATCTCCCCCAAAGGAGCCGGTCACGGTGCGACCATGTGAGGTCGAGCACCCAAACACACTGGTGATTTTTGGTTGAAAGAGAAAGGTAATAATGATGTGCTTCAAGTTGCCTTGTAAGGACCTAAGAAATCGAAACCTAAGAAATCGAGGCCTGAAGTAGTGAATTCGAAATCGCATATGTATGTCACATGACACCTTCAGTTTGCGAATTGAACAACTGCAAAAATTGGGTTTGAGATAGCAGGTACGTGACAAAGGCGTCCCTTCGTCATATCACCATGGAAAGGCAGTGTCTTCGTTGGTGGATGACTGCCAGACCATGCATTCACCCCCCTGCTATCTGTACATAGGAAAAAATCGCATGCTATAGCGGATTACACACATCCACACACACACACACACCGTGACTTACATATACAAACATGCTGTAATATTATTGGTTGTATATATATATAATATATATATATATATATACAACATAGAACGATAATAATAATAATAATATATATATTTATATATTTATACAACATATATATATATATGTACACATATACCTATATACATATATATATATATATAAATAAATATATATATACATACATATACGTATATATATACACATTTATATATATATACATACATATATATATATATCTAGGTAAAACACACATATATATATGTATATGTATATGTATATGTATATGTATATATATATGTAAATATGTATATATATATGTATGTATGTGTATGTATATATATATATACATATAAATACATATATATATATACATATATACATATATATACACATATATATATGTATTTACACACACACATATATATACATATATTTATATACAGATATTTATATGTACACATATATGTAAATATATTATATACACACACACATATATATATATATATTATAGACAATGACATTTGTTTTCCTTCGGGATGAACATCCCTAAACACCAGTTTTTTTGGGTGTTCACTAGGGTGCCAAAGTTTTGACCCACAATCACACACACACACATATATATATATACACATAGTTCCAGTATATTCCAAGATATCCCCATAACAAATCCCTCCATATCACGCTATTCCAAACACATTGGGACGACGCTTTCTGCCCGCAGCCAAGGATTTTGCTCACCACGGACCAGGCCTTGGCTCAGGCAGAGCTGCCAGCGGTTCAGCTGGTAGTGCATATGTCACTCGGCTACCGTAGATGGGTAAGGTGGCCATGGAAAATATGGGAAAGTGACTATAGATGTGTTTTTTTTTGGAAAAACATTGATTACAACAATGTGCAATGAAATCTCAACATGCCTGGCTCTAGGCTTTCCAAATGCCATATCAAGTCAGGTTGTAACACTTTAACTCTTCAAAAAGAGATGCCCTCACATATCATAAACGTAGTATAGTAAATTCCAACTGAGATAGTGATAAAATGCGCCTTTTTTGCAACTTTTTATGGGTTGCTAAATTTGCTGTGGCCGGACGGAGGATGGTTCCTCCCAGCGATGTCTATCTGCAGCGCCTCAGCTGTTTGTCTTCTCGGCAACGTGAGGCATGGTGGTGTGGCGGATCACCCCAGGGCTGGAACCAGATATTGCGGTAACCATATGTAGGTTTCCTAAAATGAGGGTACCCCAAAATGGATGGTTCATCATGGAAAAATTAATTAAAATGGATGATTTGGGGGTACCCCTATTCTAGGAAACCTCCATATGAAATATCCCCAGTTATATAGATCAATGGAATATCCCCATTTTGATGAAGGTAGTTTTTAACCACTAAACCTCTGATATTCCATTGTTACATCTTAAGTGGTTTAAATGGAATATCAGAAGTTTGATGCACGGTTATAAAGCAACTTGGGATTTCGGGGACATCCAAGCACTTTGGGGACTTGCTAATGAATGAACCCCGCTTATTGGACACGTTCCAACTGGGATGATCCACCCAGTACACTCCAGAACTTCTCAAATTCATTTTTTTGGTTTGTGTGTTTTCCCGAACCCACCAAAATCATGTCCGTTATCAACCTTTTGTGCTCGACTTGCAAGGGGAGCGTACTGTAGTGAATTTGGGCTCCCAAATTTGGGATACACCAATATTTGTTTGGATCCCTGTTGCAGCGTTCCTGGATCCCTGCAGGAATGATCTAAGGGCACCCGGAAAATGATCTTCAGTCGGGCTGGTAGAAACCCGTAATATGAAATGCATCTTTGGTGGTTTGGGAGGGGGGTGTGGGGTGGGGGAGTGGGGGGGGTGGGGCCCATAATGCTCAATTGCACTTACATACATATTTGATGCTATGCTAGAGACATCTTTTCTTGCACATACACATACTTCCTGCTACGCTAGAGACATTTTCTCTTGCATGCACACATATTTCTTTTTACGCTAGAGACATTTTCTCTTGCATGCACACATATTTCTTTTTACGCTAGAGACATCTTCTCTTGCACTCACACGCATACTTCTTTTTACGCTAGAGACATCTTCTCTTGCACATACACACACATACTTCATGCTACGCTACAAATGTTTTTTGTTGCGCATACACACGTACTTCCTGCGTCGCTATATTCTTTTTTCTTGCACTTACCCACATAGTTGATGCTACGCTGGAGACATCTTTTCTTGCACATACAAAAGGAGGAAAACTACGTCGGGCTTTGAAGAAGCTTTGCCCTGTAAAACCCAATGGAATGGTACAATGGGTCTTCAAAATCCCTGGGATTTTCAAGGTGCTATTCTAACATGAAATGATTACGGCGCTGTGGCGCCAAGCACATTTGATTCCAAAACATGGACAACTGCTAGCGCCATTGTCACCCCGCCGGGATGTCTATGTCTTTTGGGGTTTACAGAAACCATCCCCACGTCCTTCAAAAGGTTAGTTCGTTTTGCTCTTCTAAACTCCAACAAAACAAAACCTCTGTAAAACACAGGAGATTTGATCATGCACCCCCAAAAACACGCGCGAACTTCTACCAGCCCGACGCGAACTAAAAGGGATCAAACATGGATATAGCCCAAATCAAAATCATAGACGATCATATTTTTTAGATGGCACAGTCTGCCAAATCATTCCAATTCTGAAGCAACACCCACCCTGCCAAGAATGATAAGATGGCACTTCCATCAGTCCAGGGCAACCCACCGAGCTCGCTGCTTTTGTATGCGGGACACCAGCAGCAACGCCTACGGGATTTGGAGCAACTCGGCCGAGTCAAGGAATTTGACCTGAAGACCTGAATAATCACTTCCCTCATATGGTTTATACACACCCCAGAAACTTAGGGGATTTACAAATACGTGATTGCCACCCTACCCCACCACCCCACCCGAACATCCGCATGTGCAAGTGCATGTGTTTGGTGGCGCAAGTGAGCCTGTCTGGTAACGTTAGTCAGGCGTTGGCATATGTGAGGCAAAAACTGGTGGCGTATGTGAGGCGTTCACCTTTACCAACCTTGTCTAAAGATCCAGACACTGTATCTGTATCCCTAAGTTATAAAACTGCTTTTCCACATTATATTCCCATTATTCCAACTAGGTTCCAAGGAGGAATAACAGACAGTTCTGATAACCAGGTAGATGGCTTTCAGTAATGGCATCTCCTTGCAATTACAGTAATATCAGCTGAAATATTAATCAGGTTGTGTCCTCATTCCCTGTCGTTATTCCAAGTAATCATTCCAGTGATACATACCATACATTACCATACTACATTTTAACCATATACATATGTATATGTATATATATATATATGTATACATACACATACCATAGTTGCTATAAGTACATTGATATGATATATATATATATATACACATACATACATACATACATGTACTACGTACATACACACTAGATACTTTTTTTAGTTCACGCATTTCATGCACATTCTGCAGTTATTGTATCAATATGATATCCACATTATATACAATAGTTACTGTATATATATACAGACTATGTACTATAGTTAGTATATGCGACAAGGTATCGCACTACATACTTACTATAGTTACACACACACATATATACATATATATATACACATATCCACAGAGGTTACATATATCTAGAGTTATAGTTATCTAGATAGTAAATAGTTATACTATATGCTATAGTTACATAAATATATAGAGTTATCTATATAGATATTTATTTTTTTAAAATAATCTCCACACTATATACTAAAGTTACTATATATATATATATACTATATACTATAGTCACTAGATTACTACGGTTAATCTATACTACCAGGTATCACACTTTTTACTACAAGGTTATACCCTGTAGTATTTTTGCTATCCCTATAGTTAATATATACCATGTATACTGTAGTTATCACTATATACCATATATACAATATATATATAGCATATACATGCCTGTTTTCTATCCCTATCACTATATACTATAGCTGCATACTTACTATAGTTATATAATATACATATATATATATATCCACATATAGTTACATATATCTATAGTTATAGTTATCTAGATGATGAATAGTTATACCACTATATACTACTATAGTTACTACCATAATTACTACATGGTAAAACATGGGGAACTATACCTCTATAGTAACTAGGAGCACGGCCTTTAGATGGCCGTGTTTTTTGTGATTAACGGGGTGTCATGGACCATGTTTGATGTGCTCGTGCCGATAGGAATTTGTGTGATGTGACTTTCAAGGTCGTGAACCCCTTGTTCTGGTGCAGTTTCACAAAAGCAGGTATTTCGCCTAGACGAAACTAGCATTTTTTCCTGTTTTTGCTGACCCTGAAACTACTTCGTCCTCACATGTTTTTAGCCGTCTTTTGGTCAAAGCAGCGCTTCCAGTTCTTCCAAGAACCTTTGAGGATCTGGACTTTCTAAGCTAGAACGCCAGCACCACATGAACACATATTGTGTCACTGAGGGGTGCAAAGTGGAATGTCCACGCTCTTTGTGCTTCAAAACCATGTGAGCTGGCAAGAAATCCTTTAAAGACTTCCAGGACCGGTCCAACATTTGTGCCATGACGTATGAGTGCAAAGCTCAAGAGAAGTTACAATAGCGTAGCATGACGTATGAGTGTAAAGTTCAAGAGAACTTACCGTAGCGTAGCATGACGTATGAGTGCAAAGTTCAAGAGAACTTCCACTAGCGTAGCATGACATATGAGTGCAAAGTTCAAGAGAACTTACAGTAGCGTAGCAAGATGCAAGTTCACATGAACGTTAATACATGCCCCACCCCACCCCACCCCACCCCTCAACGTCAACAGTTGGACCACGGCCATCTAAAGGTCGTGGTCCAACTATATAGTACATGGTAACTATTTTTCTATTATCATACTATAGTAACTATATAGTATCCCTATGGTACCACCTCTCCAGGCGCGAGTTGGGCCTTCGCCTCTCTGCCGTCCCGAAGCCCAGCGACGAGGAGCTGCGCAGGGCCGTGCTCTCAGCGCTGGCGAAGGAGCTGATGCTGGCGACGCAGCAGTGACGTGGAACGAAAAAAAACCGGGTAAATAGCGGTTTTACCATGAGAAAATGGAGGTTTTAAAAGTTTTAGGTGGTTTTAAATGGGTTTTACAGTATTACATGTTTTGAAATGGAGAGATTTGGCCACTGAAATGGAGATGCCAGTGGCAAAAATAAGGGGTTTTCACATGGTTTAAACCGGGGAAATGGATACACAAATATATCAGACTTATCAAACATCGAGTTTGTGGATTCTGTGAGGTTTTTTTAAGTGTTCAAGTTGCAAAAACTTGGATTGCGGGTTAGCCCGTATCCCCAATTGTTCCCAATCAAACCTTCACATAATCCTCATACAATCCCGACGAAATCTTCATTATTGATGGTGAACCGCCATTCAGCAAACCTAGATGATAATAGTCATAGTATTGCAATGTATTGCTTAGATCCCATTCTATGCCCCATGTGTTCGCATAAAGTGGTTTGTTTTGTACCACCATAGCTTTGTTGCTAAAATTAACATTTATATCCTTGTTATGGGGTCCCACATTATACTCAATTACTAATTACCCATATCCCACTATGATACCTTATTTTTATTGCTTAGATCACACGTTTACCGAAATTATTAGGGTAAACATTTCATTTGTCGCCAGTGTAGATGCTTGGAGGGGTTGAATCCCCCACAACTAATTCCGTGTCATTGGGGCTTGGTTGCATTCCCACTGCTAAGCAGAACCTAGCATATCGATATTGCTCGTGAAAAAACCTGAAAGTTACACATTTTCCGCCATATCCCCTATTTTGAATCCATATTCTGGTTGCTGAAATCACATTTTGTTTTTGGTTAAATCGCCATTTCCGCTGTTTTAATCACCATTTTTGTTGGTCAAACCACAGTGTTCGTTGTCAAAAACACAAGTCTTCCGATTATGGGTCAAATCACAGCTTTTTGGTTGACAAATCCACTATTATTATCATTATCTCCCTATTCTTGATGCTTAGACCCCCTAGGTTTTCCTATTATATTCCTATTATATTCTTCTTATTATATCCCTGTTGTATCCCTATTTACCATCTGTCATATTGTTTTCCCTACTGTTTCCTTTTTTCCCCTTTGATTTCCCTTTTATGGCCCTATTGTTTTCCTATTATATATATATATATCTATCTATTCCTATTAATATACTTATTGCTATACCCATCTGTATCCCTATTTCATCCCTGATTCTAATCTTTCATTTTGTTTTCCTTGTTGTATCCTCATTAAATATCATTATTATATCTTTGTTGTTTTCCTATTAATGTGGGTAAAACAATAGTAAACCATCCATTTGGGAATGATTTATACAACCTTTTTATGGTGATTTGGGGGATGGTTTATGACATTGTCTTACCCACATTATATGTGGCAGAGCCCCGGGATGCTAACTACAAGGTGGTGCCCCCAAGATAGCTAAGTTGGTTTATAACTCCAATAACTATGGTTTATGGTACTTATAACTATAGTTAATGGGGTTTATAAACCAACTTATAACTGGGGGGCCCCACCTTGTACTACCCTATCATTTTCCCCAACTTCCGGGTGAAATTCTGCGCTTCGAGGTACGACTCCCTGGCCTTTAAGGCCGATGCTGAGCAGCAACTGGACGTGCATGGCCCGCGGCTGCTGGCTGCGGCACTGGTGCGCTCGCAAGGGTAGAAGGAGTGGTTTATATGGATTGTATATCTTTATCTATATCATTATTTCTAGATATATCCACAAACTTACAAACATATATACATACGTACATACGTACATACGTACATACGTACATACGTACATACGTACATACGTACATACGTACATACGTACATACGTACATACGTACATACGTACATACGTACATACGTACATACGTACATACGTACATACGTACATACTTACATACGTACATACGTACATACGTACATACGTACATACGTACATACGTACATACGTACATACGTACATACGTACATACATACATACATACATACATACATACATACATACATACATATTACTTGTTTATCTGTTTATTTGTTTCTTTATCTGCTCGTCTGTTCTCATTTATCGATTCATTATTTTTTGTCTAGTTATTTATCTATTCATTCGTGTTTTTATACATTCATTTATGGAGGATACAATGACTGCAAGAGAAGCACAGGTACGGGGGATAGTAACCAAGTACCTCTTATACATTCACCAGTTACTTTCTTCGCGGGATGATCCTACCATGTTTCATACTCCAGGTGAACACTATCAGGTTTAATGTATACCATCCCGGTATAACGATCTGGTAATATGGGAACTCACAAAAACCAATCAGACATTCATGTATATGGGGTTGTCTTCAAACAGGGCACCCTAAAATTTACTGGCCAAACATCATTAAGCTAGCCTCTTGGGGGGTTTGACGGTACGTCATCTCCCCAATATAGCCACAAACTTTCCACGATCAACCGCATTGTCATCATATCAATCCCCATATTAAATACCAATAGAGCCATGACCTTGTGGCTTGTTAAATGCCTCAATGTTGGTAAATCAATGTCATAAACCATCCCCAATTTCACCATTTTTATAGGTGGTAATGGGTGGTTTATGACATTGTTTTACCCACATAAGAATATATAAATCCATATATAGAATATAGAAAAATAGATAAAGACAACCTAATATTTCTATAGAAAATATATGTCTACTACCCATCATACTGTGGATGGTTGCGAAATCCTACACCAGTTGGTAGATGGGCATAATCCCAGTGTCCCATTATTTACCCTCTGGTAATACTCTGGAAAGTCCGTTCTAAATGGAAGTTTTTATGGGAAAATCATCTGTTTCTATGGGTCATTTTCAAGAGCAAACTGTGACAGTTTACCAGAGGGTACAGTGTTTCATTACTCGGGGATTTTCCCCATATCTATGGAAAAATAACACCTACAAACACCTATAACATATCCCGATATATAACATCCCTAATATTTATGGTTAATTAATATCCCATTTTCTTTACAGTATTTCATCGTTACCTAACGGTTGCCACGGTTGCCCTGCTGGGATGTCTACCCGTGCCGTGCGCAGCTGGAGGTGTTACTGGAGCGTCGCCGCCGTGGCGAGGAGTGGCTGTCGCCTTTGTCGGGTCGGCCGAGGCGCCGGTGCCGGTGCCTTGGGGCATTGGTTCTTTCATATATTTATATACATATCTATGTAAACACACACACATATATATATATATATAATAAACATATGTATATATATATAACAATATATGTATATATCTTTAATGATTATAATACATACAATATAATATATTTATATATATGATACAATATCAATAGTGTATACAGCTATAATACTTATCTACAATCAAACATAGTGATTAGATCTAATGGGGATATGTTTGGATCTAGTTTTCATGTGATCTAATGAACATGTATAGGGATTATCTAGTTATCTAGTGATTGCAGTGGAAAGATATCTAGTTATATCTAAATATTGTAAAACAGTGATGATAGTGATGACAGTGGTTATCTATCACTGTTACAGATTATAACTAGATATTATAATTATGGGGATTATAGTCACTATTTCTACTGAAATCATGGGAGATTCTAGTGATTATATCTGGTTTTTTATCGGATAACCTGGTTACTCAATCCCATTTTGGAACCGGGCACGTTCTTTCACCAGTTTGCCACTGGATCCATGGAAACTTGACTTTTTAAACAATAGATTTGCCAAAGAATATAAATAAAAATTGCCAAATAAATGTGCAAAAAAATTAGATATATCTAAACCCAAAAACGCTATGGGTTTGAATATGAATCATTATGAATCCAGAAACGCATTCCTGAGGAAAAACAAGAGAAGACATAGCGGCAACCATCTCCTAAAAGATTTATTTTTAGAATTGTTCCAATGTGCTCAGTTTCTTTTTGCCGGGGGAGGACTTGGGTCTTCAGTTTATTTGAAATGATGGTAGGGATCAACAATTCAGGCATCTGTTTCAATTCAAAAGAAGAATAACTTTTGGAAATTCCCTTTTCATCGAGTGTATTTAGTAAAACAGATGTTTTTTGTGACAAGCGCAATAATTTTTAACCATCCCTAATTTGACCAGAAACGGCCTAAACGAATCCAAAATTGGAGCCTTCAGTGATCAAGACCCGGACCCAATGAAACCCAACCGGTCCCATTTTCGGCCACGTTTGGGAAAAAACAAACCGCCGTTGGTGGGGTCTTGGGCGTCCTGACTTGGGTTATCCCAAAAGCACAGTTATTTTTCCCCTGAAAGTATCGAATCACCACAATTGTGGGGGACAGCCATCCATTAGGGGTACCATACATACCATACTCCTTGCGCGTAAGTTCAACCAGGTGATATTCCCCAGAATGGTGGGTAAGAGTTGGTAGTCACGACATGGTCTGCCAGGTACACCCCACTGCTCTTGGCTGATCCGATTCTTGGCGGCAGATCAACAGCATTTTTTTGAGGTAAATGATATGGGTCCAATGGCGAAAGTGTTTGTTCCCCAACAAAACAGAAACAATCGTAAACTTAGGAACATCTATTTCTGTCCAAAGACCAACTTAGATGAAAACCTCCTCTGTTTCTTGCCACCATTGGAATGTTGCAGTAAAGATCTGAAAAGCACAAGCGAACAACTTTTGATAAGTATCCCATAGCCGTCAAGCAACCTGAATATAAACATAGTTGTACACTTTGGCAGGAACACTCACACTCACACATCCACATCCACATCCACATCATCATCATCATCATCATCATCATCATCATCCCCATCGCCATCACCATCACCATCACCATCACCATCATCATCACCATCACCATAATAATAACAATGATACAAAATAATAAAAATAACAATACAGAATAACAACAATAACAACAATAACATCAATTATGATAATCATAATCCTCATCCCCATCCTCACCATCATCATAGCAAGCAAATAGCATCCATTAACAATATTAGAAACATCCAGTAACACCAACCGCAATCATCCTCCTCATCCTGCTATTTCAGGCAGGTTTTCTGCCCAGTTTCAGGCAGATCACGGTGCCAGTTGGGACCGATCATCCATGTTCGGAGATAGGATTTGACCCATACCTTCGTTTCCCGAAACGTTTAGATGTTGAAAACCCTACCAGTTGTAAATTACCCTCTGGTAAACTAACATAACTATGGAAAATCACCATTTTTAATGGGAAAATCCACTATAACCAACTATTTACCAGAGGGTACCAACTATTTTTCGCATGGCTTTCCCCATGGATTTTCCCCATCTGATGGTCACCGTTGACCCAAGGGTCACATCTGCCGAAACGTGGGAAAAGTTACGTTCCAAGGCATCTGGAGAAGTTGCGCAGCCGGCAGAACGTCGTGTCGGCCCTGCAGCGTGTCCTGAAGGGTCGCTTAAACAACGACCGTGTCGTGTGGATCCCTGGTGCGATGGCATCGCGGGAATCGGGACTGGGGGTGATAGGCTGAACCCGGGATGTTCGGTATGTGAGGATGTATGTTGAATGATAGTGATAAGACTAAGAAGAATGTGAATTGATAATAATGATAGCAGTAACGATAATAGTAAGAATGATTAATAATCATAATGTCAATGACGATAAAAATAACATTTTAAAATGTCAATACAAATAATGTCAAGTAATAATGATGATATATATATATATGGGGATGGGTCAAAACCCTGGTACCTTTTGTTCACCCCAAGTCATAGCTGGTAAATGGATGTTCATCCCACTAAAAATGTATCTATAGGTATTGACCCATACCCATATATATATATATATATTATGATATAGCTATTATTTTCCAAGCATTTTGTCTAGTGGGGATGATCCGATTCCGATGGAAATCCGCTCGAAATTTTGTGGTGGAATGTTTCACCATGGGAAAAAAACGTCCACGTTTTAGCCACGCAAAAATGGTTGGATTGGGATTGGGATTTACCCGGCCTGGTAAACATACCAAAAACTATGGACAGATCCACCATGTTTAAAGGGAAAACTCACTATTTCGATCGGGCCATTCTCCAGTTCGCGAACTGTTAGTTTACCAGAAGGTAATGGGAATATCATGGAACTATAATTGCAAGATAATGGGAATTTTAATGGAACTATAATGAACACTGATTACTACCCTCTGGCAATTTGAGAGTTTGCTATTGAAAATGACCATTTAGTTTGTTGATATAGAACAAATGGTGATTTTCCATAGGGAACTGTTTACCAAAGGCTTAAAGGGTAACCAGTAAAACTCATCTCCCAATATACCCTCTGGTAATTTAACATAGCTATTGAACATGGCCATTTCGTTCGTTGATTTACCCATTAAACATGCTGATTTCCATCGTTTTTTGTATGTTTACCAGAGGGTAACTAAAGTAGCAGCCACAATTTCACCAGGGTGAACTACGCTCATTTCCAGGTGACCCAAGCGCAGATTGGCCGAATTGAGCTCAGCGAGAAAGGCTGGGAGATTTGGTTGCGAAATCCGGTTCATTGTGGGGGGGATTCAAGGGCACCATGATATGGTACATGATAGTTAGTGTCAACCCCGGATTAATAAACCATGGTTTATTAATTAGGGGGGTACTCCTCCAATAGTCATTTCATCTGATACTTTTTTATGGTACCATCCCAATTAAACAGCCATTTGGGGTTTATTAATCCAGGGTTGACATTACCCTCTGGTAATTTAACATAGCTATTGAAAATCACCATGTTTCATAGGTAAAGAACCGAACTAAATGGGCCATTTTCCAGTTCGCAAACTGTAAGAAATTACCAGAGGGTAATATCATTTACCATTATTCACCATCATGAACCATCATTATTATCCATTATTAACCAGCATTTACCATCTCATTGTAATGGTTAATCATGGAGTGTTGAATGGTATACGTGGAGGGTCATCCCATTGATCAATCACCAGGGTTACCCATCATTAGGATGATCCTCCAAGTATACCATAACATAACCCGTTCTCAACCATTGACCATCTTTTACCATTAAGAAACCATGAGTCATTTTTGTTGATTAAATGAGTTTTCCCATTAAAAATGGTGATTTTCCATAGTTTTTGGTATGTTTACCAGAGGGTAACCATCATAAAAAACACCATTAAAAACCATTAGTCATCAGTCAGAGATCTAAGTTACTGGTTATTTTTTGGGATGTTCAATACCAATCATCTACCAATCTTTTACCACTGCCCACCTTGGGTGCTCAGTGGATACATTACAACAATGTGCGCTGAATCTAGCTGTGCATCCCAGTTCCCAGAAGTTGGAACTCATATTTCCCCCATGTTTTGGAGCAATTCTCCAAACTCCTCCCATTACTATTGTCATGGTTTGGCTTACGACCCTGGTTTGGTGATTTTCCAAAATTTCACCAAAAACAAACATTCTACATGATTCTACACTGAGAATTTCCCCTGAGTGTCCCGCTGTCCCTTAGCCTTAAACCAATCCATTCACCTTCCAGATTCAGCAGTTCATCAGTTCCGCAATTTCGACAAATAAACAGAAACCGAAGCCGGAATACAATCCACTTACCAGCTGGATTTCGACAAAAATTGCCAATCTGGAAAGATCTCAATCCATTTTTTTTGGGATGAGAAGGGGATTGGCTTTCCAGCCCACCTAGCTTTCTTGTTGTACGTACTTGGATGATCTGATCCAGTTATCTGTGGGATCATCCGAGTCCATGAAAATACCAGTATCAATCATTAACTATTGTGAATCATTGGTATATTACCAGGCAGTATTTTAAAAGTCGGTTAATATTCTTGATAAAATCATTATGAACTATTGATTAAAATAGTGAATGAAATATAATGCATTATTACCGGCCAGTATTTTTCAATCATATAATGGTTAATATATCCCATGAAATCCTATTCATGAGCCATTATATCCGATTATACAAATCCCATGAAACCCTCGAGTATTATCCCATTAGTGTACCATTATTGTCCATTCTTACTCCAGAATCTAACCATGTTTAGCCATTATTAATCATTATTAGTCATTAAATATATACCATTAAATCCAAGTACATTAATTTTTTAATCCAACCATATATGATTCAATCAATCTAACAGTGGATTAATCTTCATAACAGAGACCATTCTTCCAGTGTTCAGAATGATCAGCTGATACTTCGACGCGTTGCACCAGAGGTTGGTTGGTGGACGTGCCTCGGGCTCTTGTGCCGCTGCTTCTCGAGGATCGGCAGATGTACCTTGGATGTCTTGGATGCCTTGGATTGTGGCGATTGTGGCCTGGGAGGATCGGCAGGTACACGGATGGTGTTTAAGTGAGGTCACCACAAACAATTAAACACAATGTGTGAATAATGATTAGTGAATCATGTGTGAATAATGATTAGTGAATGATGTGTGTTCATAATGTCTGAACGATGTGTGAATAATGTGTGAATGATGAGTGAATAATGATTCATAATGGTACACTTGTGTTTGTGAGGCCATTAATGAGGATTGTAATGGTATGTGTGAATATCACCATAAATCTGTTCATAATGTGTGAATGAAAAAATCACCATAATGTGAAGAATAATGTGTAATAGCCTCTGGTAAGCCAAGAGTTTGCTATGGAAAACTACCATTTTTCATGGGTAAATCAACGAACTAAATTTTAGCCATTTTCAACAGCTACGTTAGTTTACCGTATTTTTTTTTATATGTGAAAATTATGTTCTTTGAATGTATCCTTTTTCATGATTTTTGGTGGCATAATATTGGCGGTTTGAACATTTTTTTGATTTGCTGAGTTGATGTTTTTTTTAGCATTTCGTCATGGGACATGCACTAGAAATGGGGAATCTACAGGATATATATATATATATCTATATGTCTGTATATACCTATATATATATATTATATATATATACATGTGGGAATATTGTTTTTTTTTTGGGGTTCCTTAAGCAGATACACGTTACAACTGGGATGATTCAGTTCGGGGACACATCTGTGATTTCTGGATGTTTATGGTAGATATATCGAACTACCCGGCCTGGTAAACGTACAAAAAACTATGGCAAATTGCCATTTTTGATGGGTAAATCCACTATTTCGACTGGGCCATGGCTTCAATAGCAAACTGTAAACGTTTACCAGAGGGTAGTTGATGGAGGTTATAGAATGTTATAGATAATTATAGACCAAGTACCTGGGGGTTGGTACCTTGAAGTTGAGTCACTTATGACTTGGTTCTCAGGGACCCACTGGACTTGGTTCATCACTTGGGGTTCTTTGCTGGCGAATGCATTTTTTCTTGGACCCATAGAATGTAGCAACAAAAATAGAGGTTTTGTTTCCAGTTAGTGACTGGTTAATTGGTGTAACATGGCATTTATACTGACAAGGAACCCCAAATAGGGATTTTTTACGAACTATGTGAATTTCAAGCAAGTTTTTACTTGGTCACGATTGCAGAAAGTTGGCAAAAAGACAACCAAGAGTGGGGATATGAACCAGAAGAATGATGACTAAGTGGTTAATGACCCTGCTGATCAAATTGGTGATCATACGTCCCAGATGAAGATGTAAACATCTGGGTTTCAAAACCTTCGGTTTAGTTCCTCAAACAGACAATCCTAGATTCCTAGATTTAGTGTCCGACAGTTGGTGGTTTCGGAAACTTGGGGACCCAACAAATTCACTAGAACTCTCCATTCTTTTAGTAGGACAAACATGGATTTGGGAGCCCCAAACGTGTGAACAAAAGAGATCTACCAAAAGCATGTCAATACCCTCTGGTAAACTAACGTAACGATGGAAAATCACAATTTTTAATGGCTAAATCCACTATTTCTGTGGCCATTTTCAATAGCAAACTGTTAGTTTACCGGAGGGTAAGCTGTTTGCCAACAGCCAAACATTATGAGACTCATGAACTGGCCACAGAGGCGCCCTTCAAATGGAGTCATTAAAATCAGAGACGTCGAGACGCATTTCATTACATTTCATTAAGCCCAACTTGATTTCATGTTCATCTCTTTAGAAGCCAAAAAAACACATGGGATCACTTAAGGTATCCAAATTCACCTGGTGGGTCATTTTCTTCGCATCCCACATGGATTGGTTTCCTATCCGTCCAGGTCCCATTTTTTGACCCAACGACGTCGCTGGAAATCGCCGAGGAAGGCGCGTGGCATTCCCGTGCTGCCGGTGAGCGACGTCCCTGACATCTTGGAAGATCAGAGCCATCTGCGGCAGAAGGTCAGGGTAACGCGCAGGCGCCACCTGGAGATGAGATTTTTGGCCACTTTTTTGACCCGGCAGCCCCAAACAGGATATCTAATTTAATGGGATTTGCTAGCTTCTATGTTTTTTTTGGGTTACTACATACATACATACATACATACATACATACATACATACATACATACATACATACATACATACATACATACATACATACATACATACATACATACTACATGTATATATATATACATGACTATATTACATTACATACATACATACATACATACATACATACATACATACATACATACATACATACATACATACATACATACATACATACATACATACATACATACATACATATATATACATGGGATTTTCTAGCGTAACTGTCTCGGGATATTGTTTAAGTTTAAGGACATCGCCCAAGAGTTACCGGAAAGTTCCGGATGGAATCAGCAGCAACTCAACGGCTCGATGGCACTGGGGGTGTCCAACTGTTGGTATGCGATGTCCCGTGCTTACGAAGTTTCGGTCAGCAGTGTTGTTGGCTAGATGTTCGTCTGGTCTTGATTAACAACCCAGTTTCGTTGGTTTTATACCAAGTCTTGGTCACAAGCTAAGTTTTTCGAATGCCACTCTCATTTGAGCAGGTTTAACGATCAATCCAAGAACTGGGAATCTCAGCTATCGCCCAGCCAAATGCTGGAGATATTTCCTGCAGATCAACCAGTTTCAGTGACTACTTGGATTTTTTTTTGAGTTCATGTCGAACTTCAATAACATGAAAACAGTCGTGTATAGCAACCCCCAAAAAGATAGAACAGTAGTCTATAAACAGGATTTCACTATTTTATAGAGTGGGATTTCACTGACTATCTATAATCATTCTGAAGTAGATTCACAATAATTTGGACATTTCATTAAAAAAACAACCTACAACAATGGGAATAATATTGAACAAAATCATGTACTTGGAGGATCATCCCACAGATCGTATCTGGTTAGTACTCATAGTTGTATAATGTTATATAGGTCACTCATATATATATATATATATATATGTACTGTTCATGTATGTATATATGTATATGTATATGTATATGTATATGTATATGTATATGTATATGTATATGTATATGTATATGTATATGTATATGTATATGTATATGTATATATGTATTATGTATATAATATGTATATAATTATATATATATATATACATATGTATATATATATATGTATATATATATATAGAAGCTCTATACATATATGTCTATATAAAATATATGTGTATATATATATATGTCTATATGTATATATATATATGTATATATATGTATATATATATATGTACAATATCCTCGAAATAATCATCAACCAACCCTGGTAGATTGTAGCCACTGCTCAACTGGATTCATGGGTTACAACTCTAGTTGAGATTATAATTGTTGGTGATACATATCTAGCCAAACATTTATATACATTTTTCGTATTCTATCCACTCCAGGATGACTCAAATCACGACTTAAAGGGGGGTACCGGGTTCAGTGCCCTGCCATGCACCAGGCGCCGAAGGGCGTTGCAGGGCAATTTAGCTCAGCGGAGACATCAGGAACGACAAGAGCTGCTTGAAGGGAGATCATCAGGTGGGTTACATTCGAAAAAATCAAACATGGCAAGTGACAATTTCGACGTAAATGCGGTATGGATGGGGAACATCATCTAGAAATGTTTTGTTTTTCCCCATTGCCATATTTGGTTGCCAGAGGGTAGTGGGTAATCCACCAAAAGATACAGAAGTGATATATGATAATCCCTAGTTTGGTTGGTAGGATATTGCTTTTTTATTTTTTTGGGGCAGATTGACGGCCTAAAACCTAAATTTGAGAAACAACCTTTCAAAGAATCGGGTCTGGCAGATGATTTATAGATCGATAGCTAGGGATCACTGCAAAATTTCACCATCCCGGATTGTGGTTGATGAAAGGCTACTCAAATGGGATCCTTTATAGCTAATAACATCTAATCACGAAACCCATTTTATGGTTCAGAATTGCGGATTGACATGCCAACTACGTTTGTCTTATCCTCCATTTGGATGTCATTTCCAAGCTATATGTCCAAATTACGGTTTCCAATAAATCCCCATGGCCCAGGTTTCTCTATCCCTCTGGGCGCCGGTCCCTCTTCGGTGTCTGGACACAAGTGGTGGTTTCCTTTAAGTCATGTAGCCCAAAAAATGGCTGGTTGAAAAACGGAGAATCCTATGAAAATCCCATGAAAATGGATGATAACTGGGGTTAGCCTATTTTAGGAAACCTCCAAGGTACCATCCAGCGAACCTTGGTTTGGGATGCTGTAGCTCAAGTTTACCATTCCTTTGACCTGAGACAGAAGTCCTGCTTGAAATCACAGGTGCCCCAGTTAACTATCCCGTGGGTAAGTATTTACTGACTTTGTCCTGTGGGACATCCATTGTTTGCGATGAAGATTGCTGGATCCCCCCCTCAAAAAAAAATGTTTTTTGATTTCCAATCTTGACTTAACTTATAAATGGGAGATGTGCCAAACTAAAAACTCTGTAGATGTTCTTTCACCAGCTTTTTAAACTTACTGCAGCTTTCGAAGATCCCTGCGATTTCCAAAATGGAGTCGGACTGCGGGGGTCCCCTGACCAGGTTGGTGACCGTAGATGAAGAGCAAACTGACATCATTGCAAAACTCCACCAATGGCAAAACCTTATTTTTTTGGTTTTAATCATGTTTAACTGATACCATTTGCATCTATTTGCATCTATTTGCATCTATTTGCATCTATTTGTTCGATTGATCCTTGGCTGGATTACGCTGCGTGAACACACACACACACACATGTTTGCTCATGTTTCTTGCATAGCCTTTTATGAGTTGGATCCACCTTTTGTTGTGTATTAGTATAATCAATCTGTTCTCCTGTATTCTGGTGCCTGTATCGTGTAACCTCTCAGCTGTGGGACTGTGGTGATAGTTTGAAGGCTTGCGCCACCCTCAGGTCCTTTTTTTCAGGCGGGGAGCAAAGGCAAGTCTCCAGCCGCGGCGGCACTGAGCACGTTGAGCGGTTTCGTCAAAGTGGGGGATGGGGATCAGATGCGACCCTTTGGGGAAAAAACACAAACGGCTGGAAAAACACGTAAAAATGGAGGTTTCAGTTGATGGGAAGTTTTCATAGCAACATAAATATGGGAAAAACACTATAAATGGAGATTTTAATGGGAAAATAATGGATAAATGGGGGATTTTGCATTGCTTCGTTTGATTACCGGAGGGTAAGGGGACAAGAATCCAGTTGATTTTTTGTCACCTTACTGGGTCACTCTATAAAAAAGCGAGGAAGAACACTGAACTTACTGGTCAAGTAGATCTGGTTTTGTCCTTAAGTGGGATGTACCTATACCCCTACTATTTGCTGTCTTGAACTTGACAAATCCATGTTTTTTTTTTCAAATGGTGTGAAGGTCATATCCACGTGATTGGCAGTTCATGATATTGTATTAGTTATTACACGTTATTAAACCAAATTTTTTGTTGGGATGAACATCCATTTACCAGCCATCTTTCTATTCACCAAGGGTACCAGGGTTTTGACCCATGCTCACGTTTTTCAGGAGTAAACGCGATTTGAAGATATCTTGATCAAGGGGATCTAAGATGTCCACCAAGTCCATGGCCCCTGAAGCCAGAAATTGTGCTTGAAGCCAAAGATGACACGTCCCAGAAAAGTTTTTGGAAGATGGTATTCCTGTTGGACATTTCACTTTTTCGATAGTTCCAGTTGACTCATCCAATATTTCTTTTGGGCTGGCTTCTGGATGCTGAAAAGACGAAAAAAACCGGCCCACATCTCCAAAAAAATCACGGTTGAACGGCTTCACGGCTGAACTTGGCTCAAGTTGCAACAAAAGCCTTCGGCGTCATGACTGCCCCACGTCTCAAGGGGGGACGGGGAAAAAACACCTCGTTGGTGGAACCAGGATGGAGTCGTTGAGAGAACATCCTGCTGATGGACATAGGCAACACCGTTTGGTTATTGAACGTAGCGAACTGGAAAATCACCATTTTTGATAGGTAAATCATGATAAATCCTCTATAAATGGACCATTTTCCATAGCTATGTTAAATAGCCAAAGGGTAAACTTCCAAGACTTCCAGTATGAAAGTCTGAGGTTAAAGAAACTTGAAGAATGCCATCTATTTGGCTTACTCAAGCATGGTAACTGGAAATCAGCTAGATCAAGTGTGCCAGCAAAGTGAATAAACAATGGCAATGAGAAACGATCACTAATTATCAACATACTAGGGCGTGTACTTTTCTAATCTTTTCGATTTGGGTGAGTCACAAGACAAAAACCCCAGAAGGGACTACAGATTTAATATACACGGTGGACTTCACCGGTCCGGTGGGAGTTTAACCCATGACCTTCAGATGAGTGATTTTTTGGTAACCCGAAAAAAAAACTTCCCATATCATCTGACGGTTGTCCCATATTTTGCCTGAAAACGTCCCAAATTTGTTTCCATAGTTGTACCATAAGCCATGCCATGCATTTTTCCATAAGCTTCCCATCATTTTCCACCAAAAAAACACATTTCCCATACATATACCATAACATTTCCATAAATTTCCCATCATTTTCCGATGAATTTCCAACATTTTTCTCATAAATTATCCCACAATTTTCCCAGAAGTATACCATAAATATACCATAAACGTCCTTTTTCACCAGTCCTGATTTTTTTCACTCAGGCCTTGCCGCGTCACCAGTAAAAGAGGTGTGGCAGTGACTTTTTGGTGCGACGGTGCTGAGACTGGGCCAACAGTAACTGGGCCAACAAGGAAAACGACATGGAATACTTGTGGGTAAGTGAGAATTTCGATATCTATGTGAGTAATATGGGGATTATTAATGGTTAATAATGCTTAATGGTGAATAATAGTTAACAATTGTTAATATGGAGGTTTCCTAAGTGAGGGTACTCCAATAGCTGGATAGTTTCTTTCATGGAACATTCCATTTAAATGGATGATGGTCCGGGGTACCCCCCATGGATTGGAAAGCTCCATATGGAAAGAACATGTTGTGGTCTTTGCTTGTCAACGTTTCACATGGAATATGGAAACATGGGTCGACACATCGTTTTCAACAGATGGGCAAAAGAGTGCAAAAATGGGAGAATTTAACTGGGAAAACAACTTTTTAAAACACATAGAAAAACAAACCTTTCGTTGTTGGAATCCCCTGTCTTTCGCTCACTGTCTTTCGCGGGATGATGCCACTGAAGATTCATGGGGATGAAGCACAATCCAGCTGGTTAATCAATGTTAATGGTTTTTCTAGTGGTTAATGGCTTTTCTAGTGGTTAATAGTGTTTCATGGTTAATGGTTAATCAATCCAGCTGGTTAATCAATCTGGGTAAATTATAACGACCTCACTGCGACCGAAGCCTAGAAACATGGTTAGTAAGGGGAATCATCCCCAAATGGCCTTAATTCAGGTTACATAGTGAAATATTATAATTTACCCAGATCAATGGTGCGTCCGAAAAGTGAGTTTTTTGCTGGCCAGAATTTCGGACGCACGAACAGGTCGGGCTCTGTCGGTGCTGGGCCGCTTGGCAGAGGCCGCGGTCGCGGGTCCATTTCGGAGTTGCGTTGCGGTGAGACATTGAAGTAAGTCATAATAAAATCAAATGATAATAGTATATAAAGAGAACATTATATACATATACCGTATATACCAAATAAAATAGTAACAATAATCATCATAGAATAAAAATAACATTATATACATATGGGAGTCAATCGGAAGGTCCAATGTAATGTAGAAAATTCTCCATTACGAAGGCCGCCGGTGGTAACATGAGACCCCGCGAAAGTTTTTTTTCTAGGTTTGCGCAGTTTTTTTTTTGAGGAACGATTTAAGTGTTTTTTTTTGTTGAGGTGGTTTATCATATATTGTTTTGTTTTTCTAGGTGTGAAGTGAGAACCTTCTAAATTGAGTTGTGAATGGGAGGAATAGAATAGATCCACATGATATTTTATATTGTTTACAAAATCCATCGATTTACATACATACATGCATGCATGCAATGCAATGCAATGCAATACACTACACTACAATACAAAACAAGACAATACAATACAATACATACACACGCACGCGTACATACATACATTACAATACAATGAAATACAAATACAAATACAAATACAAATACAAATACACTACAATACAATACAATATATGTATATATATACAATACACATACAATACAATACAATACAGTACACTACAATACAATACAGTACAGTACAATACAGACACACACAGACATACATACATACCATACCAGAACATAACATAACATTACATTACACTACACTACATAGATAGATAGATAGATTAGATTAGATTAGATTAGATTCGATTCGATTAGATTAGATAGATAGATAGATAGATAGATACATACAAACAATACAATACAATACATACACTACACATACATACATACATACATACATACATACATACATACATACATACATACATACATACATACATACATACATACATACATACATACATACATACATACATACATACATACATACATACATACTACATACATACATACATACATACATACATACATACATACATACATACATACATACATACATACATACATACATACATACATACATACACACATGCATACATCCATGCATGCATGCATGCATGCATACATACATACATACATACAGACATACACACATACACACATACACACATACACACATACACACCACACATAGACACATACACACATACATACATACAGACATACAGACATACAGATGTTATACAATATAACTAAATTGATAGCTCCCTAACGATGCAGCCTAAGGGTTATTCATCGGGGTTGAGATACAGGAATCTGGATGATTTATATTGACCTCACGTCGCTTTACGTCACTGGACTGATGCTTAGTAATGAGCGGAATCATCCCGAAATGGCCGAACTTTTCAGCTCTTTGAAACTTTGGTCATTGCAATCCCCAAGTCAAGATAGTAAAAATCACAGTAAGTTCCCGAAGTTCCCTTCAAATCCCAGTACAAATAGTGATCACTTGAAGCTTCTCTGCATATTTTTGGCTCTCTGACTCCGCGGCAAGGCCATGGCCACCAATGGTGAGGAGGATAGTGCGAAGTGGCTCTATGTGAGGCCAGGGGCATGAGGTTCTTTCCCCCGTGAAAAGTGGTTGAGGTTTCAGCCAAAGGAAAACGAATAAGTAGATATAGATGGTAGAGGAAGTAAGTTTTTTCATATAGATATAGATGATATGAAATATCTCAAATATCAAACCGGCCGCTCACTGATTTTTTCCAAAAAGGACGATATTGATCCAAACCTGAAGAAGATTAAAAACGATGCTGTATTGCTAGAATTCTAAAAACACCAATTCATGGGACCCGTGAACCATCGGGTGATATGATTGCCAGTGTGGATGGTGAAGGTTATGACCCTGGTGGTGCAATGTAGGATGGGGAGAACCCAGGAAGGTTCACCGTTCAAGTGATGTTTAGAGGAAATATTCCTGGAAACCGCGGGGAATGCGGAAATGAATGGCTTCATTTTTGGGGAAATTGATGGACCACTGTTTCATGTCTATGATAATGGGTAGTCTCCAGAATATGAATATACAATAATCATCGTCCTACACTTGCAGTGTCGTTGGCATCCTCGAGTTGAAGTTGGATAGTTTTTGGACATGTTCTGTAACCAATGCAAAGCATATCGTACACAATGGTGTATACTATATAGACTATATATATATAATCATTGCTTGCATATTATATATTATATATATATTATTATGCGAGAGAATCATCCTAGCCGCTGGCTTGGCTTCCGAGCATCAATACCTGAGACTTTTTGGTTTGTCTGGGTCCCTGGTCCTGGGTTCAGCATGTGGATCATGGGTCATTAAACCACCAAGCCGGGATTTTCTGGATTTTCTCTGTCTTCTCAGAGTCAAGCATCACTTTTTCATGGAATACCCTCTGGTAATTTAACAGTTTGCTATTGAAAACGGCACATTTAGAATGGATTTACCTATTCAAGATGGTTATTTTCCATAGCTATGTTAGTTTACCAGAGGGTAGTGATGAACCCCCAAAAATGGGTGATGTTAGAAAAGATCAGAAATCCGAAAAGACGCCTCTTTTTCTGAAGCTGGATGTACTTGAAGCTGCATCCCACAAGTGCAAGCCCATTTTTTTGAGCCATTCGTCTAACTGGGGATATTCCATTGATCTGCCTGCGTTAATGTTAGTAAAGCAACAGGATCCGCCATCCCCAATTCTACCATAATAAATGGCATAAACCATCAACATATGAGTGGTTTATTATTGGACTTCGTGGTGATTTACCATCTGGTTATTCACGTCGCTTCGCGACGGCAACCGCCCGCACCGCATCGTTGGGCTCACACATAGAGAGATATATCTATATATATAAAGATCATATATGTACATATCGAGTGAACGGTCCACACTGTTAATGATGTCAGCCACTGTTCTCTTCTACTGCCATTGTTCTCTTCTATTGCCGTCGCTCCGCGACAAGAACCCCTGTGCGGCCGCCACGGTTTGAACGATGTTGTTCTCACACCTTCGCGACCGCTCGTAACTGCCAATGATGTCGGCCATTGAGACCAAAAACATCCGAAAGTACTGATTGTCGGAAAAAAAAACGCGAAGAATTTGATAGCCATGTATAGCGGACCAACGCAGTTCAAAAAATAACGAAAAACATGAAAAAACGGCGAAATTGCTGTTATTTACAGTGTTTTTGCGCGGTGAGAAGCAGAAACCACTGCACATACCATGGTTTTTGAGGGTCAGGTAATTTGTGCGTCAAAAAACACTGGTATTTACGATGTTTTCATTCACACCGTAACATAAAACAGCGTAATTTACGAGGTTTTTGGAAATTTTGAAGCTAGCCGTCAAGCATGCAGAAAACAGAAAAACACTGTAAAAAAACAGTGTTTCTGCTATCACAAAACGACGAAAATCAGTCCGAAAACGGGTCCAAAAATTCAAAAATCCGCCTCCGGGCCAGGCCACCTGCGGAACCGCAAAAAAAGATGTTGCAAACCAAAAAATTGAGGTCAACAAGTTGAAAAAAACGCGGGGTTTTTTCACTTTTCGCTTGCCGATTTTGGACGGGCGCGTTCACGAACAGGTGTCTTCCGTACTGTTTTTTACAGTGTTTTTTGAAGGCGAGCGTCACGACCTATCAAAAACAGGAGGTTTTGGCCGAAAAATGCCCCCCCCCCCAGGTAAACCTGTAACCTTTTACGAGTGCCATCCGGACGATCACGCCCCAGCACCTTCGGTGCGGGCGGATTTAACATACCCATGGAAAATGACCCATTTATAGATGATTTACCTATTAAAACCTCCATTTATCAGGGATTTTCCATGGCTATGTTAGTCATAACCAGAGGGTAATGGGGTTTAATTGGATTTCGTAGGACTTTTTTTTGGATGACCAGCATTTTTTCGCTGATTCCCCACATCCCATTGTGAGTTTTTGAGGAACCTCCCTGAGGATGCGAAGAGTGCTGGAGCCAAGAAACGCCTGGCGGAAACGCAGGATTTCTATGGTGGATTTAAGTGTTACCCTTTGGCAAACTAACATAGCTATGGAAAATCACTATGTTTATAGGTAAATCATCTATAAACGGTCCATTTTCCATAGCTATGCTAGTTTACTGCAGGGTAAACGGGTAATTCTTTGACCATAAAAGTGGTGAGTTATTATCACAGACACATGAACATTTAAACAAAACAAGCTGGATTCACATCTGGTGACGATAAAATGGTGAGTTTTTTTTATTAAGTCACAGACACATTTTTTTTTAAACCAAAAAACTAGATTGACATTTGGTAGTGGGTCAATTTTTGCCATATGGAGGAACATAGCAGCTAGTCGCTAGTCAGTCGGGATGGACCCCAGCATGTTATTCTGGAGCTTTTTGGACAGTCGCACTGTCGCACCGTGCCTGCGAAATCCGAATGCCACCAGTTTTTCAAACGGTGGTTTTTGTAAACATCCCATGATTCACAGGCTTTCAGGTTTCAACCTTTTGGTGGTTGATCAGATTTCGCTTTCACCCAGCGGTTACGGTTGGTTTGAGTCGGTTTTCGATGGAATCTGCTCAGGTTACATCTGGTTCAAGCAGTTCCATCTACACGGCGAAGTCGTCCGGGCGTCTTTCTTTGGCTGGAAGAAGGGCCAAGAACGTCCGCCTGCCGGGCCGGGTGAAGATCCCGAAAACGTCTGGGAGTTGCAATTTTTGATCAACCGGCCTGGTAAACATCCAAAAAACTATTGAACACGGCCATTTAGTTTGTTGATTTACATTTTAAACATGGTGATTTTCCATAGTTATGTTGGTTTACCAGAGGGTATATAGAATATATATGGGGGTTCCCTAAGTTATGGGGGAACCCCAATAGCTGGATGGGTGAAAAAATGGAAAATCCGAAAATAACAAAATCACATGGATGAGAACTGGGGGTACCCCAATGACATAGGACCCCCCCCCTTACATATATATATATACACACTTCGAGCTAATATCACTGATCACATACCCCTCAAACCAAGCATTGTATGTCGTGGGTCCTTGTTTACGGCGAACATAGGGGATGGGATTGCTGGTCGTCCCTTTCTTGGTGCCAACAGAGATCGTTCAAAAAGGGAGACCAAAGAATGGGAGGTGTCACGTTTTTTTCATGGATCAGCAGAATTTTTGAAGGTTACCCTCTGGTAAACTAACATAACTATTGAAAATCACAATTTTTCATGGAAAAATCCACTATTAATGGCCATTTTCAATAGCTACGTTAAATTACCAGAGGGTAGCATGTTTGAAGGAATTTCGATGGAGCTTCTTGCGGGTCACAGAGAAGCAATGTGCTGTGGCTGATTTCATGCAGCTGTACGAGAGATCAACTCATATCTGCGAGGAGCTCACAGCATAAATGATAGTCACTCAGGGGACAGCAACAAAAAGAGGCACTGCATGTCAGACATGTCAGGGTTGTGAATCAGAAAAATCGTCCAAAGAAATGGCAACTGAGAGCCTGAACCCCCCCCTGCAGATTGCCCAATTGGGAGTACGATCCCCCGAGCCACTGAGCCTCTTGACCGTAGGTTGCAACCCTGCTGTTACCTTCGTCTTTCGTCCCCATATTTCTGGTGGATGATATCCCTACAAGTTCTGGATGAGTTATGAAGAAACTATCTACCTCGACGGTCACCATAGACGATGGCTTGAGATGGTAAGGGCAATCATCATCCCTAAACATCACCCAAATCAATATTTGCTTGATATTTGGGCCCCAAATCCCGATGTTTAACAGCTTGTTTGGCTCAGCGCAACCTTTTCCGTTCCGAGCATTTCCAAAACACCTCCCTTGGGCGCAGGTTGGTGTTTAGCAGAGCTCGAGAGCCCAGATCGTCAGATATTTTATGCCCTCTATACGAATGCTACCATCTGGTTATGACTCACATAGCCATGGAACATCCCATATAAATGGAGGTATCTAGCTGGGAACATCATCTATTTCTATGGGCCATTTTCCATGGCTATCTTAAATAACCAGAGGGTATATGATGATATATGATACTGTCTGGGTCCATAACAATAACAACCTTACTTGCCCAATCTCACCATTAAGGATGGTTCTCATAGGGGGAACCAGCTGAGAATAGCTCATTTACACTTAACAAAATATCGTCATTTGCCCAGATACTGTACCTTCAACCACCAAGAATATTCATGGGCTCGATCAGATTTGAAATCGGCTTGATGTACCCAACATTTTTTCGCAACCTTAATTCGGAAAATATGGTAAGCAACTCTCAGATCCGTACTACATTTTCACTACATGTTCAGACAAACTTAAGCATCTACCTTGGGGGAATGGATAACATTGACCCTTGGTATCCCTTGGTTCAGTTGATGATGGGATCACAATCAGGAAACCATCCAATGAGGAGTTGTTTTGGTGTCCAGTTCTTGTCAATGTCCAGGTTCTGGCAGAAGTTTTTGTGGGATATCCAATGATTTTGCTGGTTAGATTCCCATAATTAATAATATTAGCTAGGTCCTGTTGTCGTATTAGGCCGACGTAAAATAATTTATTAATTCAGACGACGGCACTATTTCACCGGTAAAATTATTCGAATTAAGCGACGACCTGCGAGATATTATAAATTGTGCAGATAATATCAATGTTGTTGGTAGCTAGAACCATCAACCTACAGATCACTCGATTGATGTAAAGATGTGAGGGAAAAAAGGTAGATCCACGGGTTTCTACACCTAAATTCTTTGGGTTTCTCCAGATTTTTCGCTATAGTAACCCAGCCTAAAGATTCAGACAAGGTGCACATTTTTCCGGATTGGATTGTATTTTCTGCATTTTGTGGGAAGGTGCTATAGGCTAAGTGGGGTTGAAAAGGTAGATATATTGAACATTATTGAACTATAGGGTAACATAAACAAACACAGCTGAGCTCCCTCACTATGGATTCTTGGTGCCCTGTATTTCCCCAAATATGATAGTTCCTTTATGTGTTTTTTTTCATGTTTCCATGTTTCACAGAAGTATGATTTCGGTAAACACGTAACTCAGGTTTCGACTGTTAACTTTTATCATATTACTTTATAGACAGTATATTTCAACGTTTCCTGAGTTATATACATGTGTATATATAAATATATGTATTTGTATCCGTTTCTGTTTTTTAACCCAAGAAACTTATGAAGGAATGCTCTTAAGAGGAACCTTAACGCCCAAATTGTGATTCGGCAGGTGCAGCACCAAATGGGAAGCCATCTCCTTAAAGAAGGCACGGTTGCCGGTTGAGGGGCTGATTTACTATGGGGATTAAAAAAATGGGGATTTCTCTAAAGATGATGGGGATGTACTGTTTTTTTTACTTGTAATGGAATTGGGATGTAGTGGGACCGATTGATTGTAATATCATTGGGATGCAATGGAATACAACTGGATATGATGAGGGTTACCCTCTGTAAACAAGGGGCTTTAATTGTGCTTACCACTAGGAAGTGGTTCATATCCATCATATCCATTCATAACCATGGCTCAAACCTTGTTATAAATATGGCTTACCCCCTGGTCATTTGTTACAATTGGCTATGGTAGAGATGGCCCATTTACTTCCACCCATGACTGATCTCCAAGATTGGATTCCTCCGGGATGGTTTTCGCATGGAACCGCTCCAATGGAGCCTGAAACATGGGGATGATTTGACTACGAGACATGACCCTTGTTGGGTTCCATATTAACAATTCAGAGGGTGCATAAACAATGACCACCTACTGGTAGAAACTGTATTTTTATTATGTTTGCAGTCTGCAACCTAGCAATTTTGGGAGACATGGTTTTGAGCAAAGCCTCGTTTGCGGTAGTAAAGACTCCATTTCTAGTGGCCACACTAGATGAGACATAGAACATAGCATATTCTCTAAACTGGTATGGGAGATCTGTTTCTTTCTACTTGGGGGCCAACTGTATATACCTTTCGAAATCCCAGAATGTCATATGTAGACCCAATCACAAGAGCAGGAAACCATTCCCATAGCCAGTTTCACGGGGATGAACGACCATCAGTGGACGTAAGAAAATGGAAGTTCAACAACAATTAGTATCTGGTTTGTTCAATGATTATAGTCCCAGGAAAATCCCAGTTCTACTTGGTGGCTCAAACTAGCCATGAATCCTGGTTGTAGGTTATATCATATTCCTGGTTGTTTTAGTGGGATCAGTGGGGTTCATCCACTGGAATAACTAGGCTTACCCTCTAGTTATGACTAACATAGCCATGGTATAGATGGCCCATAGAAATAGATGATTTTCCCATTAAAACCTCCATTTATGAGGGATTTTCCATGGCTATGTTAGTCATAACCAGATGGTATATATAACCTACAACCAGGATTTGTGGGTAGTTCGCCACCAAGTATCCACATTTTTCGGTGGCATTGACACGGCTGAACTCTGGCGGAATCGACAGGAGCTTGATGGCAAGGATCTTGGGGCGGATGCTCCTCTGATCGTTCCCTTGGCGGAATAGGGCCAGGGTCATGGGATAGGCCAAAGAGAGCTGGGGAATGCTGGGGATATCACACTAGTCATCCAATACAGGGTGCAACGGCCCGCCGTTGCAGCCACAATGGGATCTACAGCCCCAAAAACTGTATAGGATTGCATGCCGCTGGCCTGGAATCCAGGTTGTCTTGGTAAAGATTCCTGGTCCCTGGAAATTGTGGCCATGGAACGCCAAACCTTGCCGTGTCCTCTTTCCAAGCCATTTACGATGTCATGTGGGTTGGTCCAAAACATTTGGCGAACAATGTAATGTGGTAAGCTATATTTATAACATTTGGCGAACCTTGTCATGTCATGGTAATTTACGATGTCATGTGGGTAAAATCTCGTGATTTTTTGGTTCAATTTCCCCTCAGAGGAGCCAGATTCCTTTGAGATTTACTCCAATTCATACGGATTAAATCATTGGAAGTCATCCCCAGCTGGAATTCAGATTAGGTAATAATCCACGGCCACAAATTATCATTGATGATGGATTAAATCAATTTAAATCATGAATGCAGATGAGTGAGGCAGTATACTTAGTAATCATGAATTCAGATTCATTCAGATTAGTGAGTCATTGGAATTTCGATCGTAATTCATCCCATTTTCCCCATGAACATTGCCGCAGCTTCACGGTTCACGGGGCAAACGTCGTTTCAGCGAGGTGAAGACCATCACGAGTAAGGAGAAGGATGAGCTGGTTTCCAAGCAGGACGACCCTGGTGAAGCCAAGAAAAACCAGTGGGGATTTGATGGGAGTTATAGGCTTGGTAATTACCTGGTTGTTGGTGGTTTGGAATTTGGAACATGAATTTTATTTGACTTTCTAAAATATTGGGATTGTTCGGAATGTCATAATCCCAACTCATATTGTCATATTTTTCAAAGGGGTAGGTATACCACCAGCCAGTTACATGAATTTTATCATATAAAATTACCATGGGATGACAATAAATCCCTTAGCTTATAAGGTTTCACCCAAAAAGGTTGGGACTAGGTAGGATGATCCCATCCCAGTTAAAAGAACTTGGTTTCTGGTAGAAGAAAACTCATTAAAAAGCAAGATAGAAACACATACCCTCTGGTAATTTAACATGGCTATTGAAAATGGCCATTTATAGTGAGTTTTCCCATTAAAAATGGTGATTTTCCATAGTTATGTTAGTTTACCAGAGGGTATCAATCAAACTTGGTTTCAACTATATTGCTATATGATTGATCAATCCATATATATATATGATTGGTCTAGTTTCAATTTGAATCAAGTAGACTTTCCCAACGAGACCAATCCCTTGATAGCATGGTTTGTTCACTCAGATATACAGAGGATCTGGCAATTTGAGGTAGCTGTGGAAAATCATCATTTTATAGGCAAATCATCTATAAATCATCTATAAATCATCTATAAATCATCTATAAATCATCTATAAATCATCTATAAATCATCTATAAATCATCTATTAAATCATCTATAAATCATCTATAAATCATCTATAAATCATCTATTAAATCATCTATAAATCATCTATAAATCATCTATAAATCATCTATAAATCATCTATAAATCATCTATAAATCATCTATAAATCATCTATAAATCATCTATTAAATCATCTATAAATCATCTATTAAATCATCTATAAATCATCTATAAATCATCTAAATCATCTATAAATCATCTATAAATCATCTATTAAATCATCTATAAATCATCTATAAATCATCTATAAATCATCTATAAATCATCTATAAATCATCTATAAATCATCTATAAATCATCTATAAATCATCTATTAAATCATCTATAAATCATCTATAAATCATCTATAAATCATCTATAAATCATCTATAAATCATCTATAAATCATCTATTAAATCATCTATAAATCATCTATAAATCATCTATAAATCATCTATAAATCATCTATAAATCATCTATAAATCATCTATTAAATCATCTATAAATCATCTATAAATCATCTATAAATCATCTATTAAATCATCTATAAATCATCTATAAATCATCTATAAATCATCTATAAATCATCTATAAATCATCTATAAATCATCTATTAAATCATCTATAAATCATCTATAAATCATCTATAAATCATCTATAAATCATCTATTAAATCATCTATAAATCATCTATAAATCATCTATAAATCATCTATTAAATCATCTATAAATCATCTATAAATCATCTATAAATCATCTATAAATCATCTATAAATCATCTATAAATCATCTATAAATCATCTATAAATCATCTATTAAATCATCTATAAATCATCTATAAATCATCTATAAATCATCTATAAATCATCTATAAATCATCTATAAATCATCTATAAATCATCTATAAATCATCTATAAATCATCTATAAATCATCTATAAATCATCTATAAATCATCTATAAATCATCTATTAAATCATCTATAAATCATCTATAAATCATCTATAAATCATCTATAAATCATCTATAAATCATCTATAAATCATCTATAAATCATCTATCTATAAATCATCTATAAATCATCTATAAATCATCTATAAATCATCTATTAAATCATCTATAAATCATCTATAAATCATCTATAAATCATCTATAAATCATCTATAAATCATCTATAAATCATCTATTAAATCATCTATAAATCATCTATAAATCATCTATAAATCATCTATAAATCATCTATTAAATCATCTATAAATCATCTATAAATCATCTATAAATCATCTATAAATCATCTATAAATCATCTATAAATCATCTATTAAATCATCTATAAATCATCTATAAATCATCTATAAATCATCTATAAATCATCTATAAATCATCTATAAATCATCTATAAATCATCTATAAATCATCTATAAATCATCTATAAATCATCTATAAATCATCTATAAATCATCTATAAATCATCTATAAATCATCTATTAAATCATCTATAAATCATCTATAAATCATCTATAAATCATCTATAAATCATCTATAAATCATCTATAAATCATCTATAAATCATCTATAAATCATCTATAAATCATCTATAAATCATCTATAAATCATCTATAAATCATCTATAAATCATCTCATCTATAAATCATCTATAAATCATCTATAAATCATCTATAAATCATCTATTAAATCATCTATAAATCATCTATAAATCATCTATAAATCATCTATTAAATCATCTATAAATCATCTATAAATCATCTATAAATCATCTATAAATCATCTATAAATCATCTATAAATCATCTATAAATCATCTATAAATCATCTATTAAATCATCTATAAATCATCTATAAATCATCTATTAATCATCTATTAATCATCTATTAAATCATCTATAAATCATCTATAAATCATCTATAAATCATCTATAAATCATCTATAAATCATCTATAAATCATCTATAAATCATCTATAAATCATCTATAAATCATCTATAAATCATCTATTAAATCATCTATAAATCATCTATAAATCATCTATAAATCATCTATAAATCATCTATAAATCATCTATAAATCATCTATAAATCATCTATAAATCATCTAAATCATCTATAAATCATCTATAAATCATCTATAAATCATCTATAAATCATCTATAAATCATCTATTAAATCATCTATAAATCATCTATAAATCATCTATAAATCATCTATAAATCATCTATAAATCATCTATAAATCATCTATTAAATCATCTATAAATCATCTATAAATCATCTATAAATCATCTATAAATCATCTATAAATCATCTATAAATCATCTATAAATCATCTATAAATCATCTATAAATCATCTATAAATCATCTATAAATCATCTATAAATCATCTCATTAAATCATCTATAAATCATCTATAAATCATCTATAAATCATCTATTAAATCATCTATAAATCATCTATAAATCATCTATAAATCATCTATAAATCATCTATAAATCATCTATAAATGGATCATTTTCCATAGCATTCCATAGCTATGTAAAAAATAACGAGAAGATATATATATCTATATATCATCTACTGCTGTATGAGTTATTCTTCAGTCACTGTCTGGGAGTTCGGCAGAACGGCGTCAGCCCAGCTTTTGGAGATGTGGATCATAAACTTCACTTTTTTTTTTGTGCGAAGTTCGCGGTTAGTGATGAGGTAAACCCAACTAGCCACTGGTGAACTAACACAGCGAACTGGAAAAATTGCTCATTTTAAGAGATAAATCAACGAAGTAAATGGGGCCATTTTCAATAGCAAAACTGTGACATGACCGGGTCACAAATCACGATCATCCCAATGACCGTGAAATTCATCACCTGAATCTTCATTTGTTGGGACCTCCCCAAGCTGCGCAGAATGAGAAGGGCGAGGGCGCAGAAGATTCCGAAAAAGTGGAGAAGGAGTCCAAGGACAAAGATAAAAGCAGAGTCTTGGTTTTTGATACGCGAGGCAACAAGCAGTCTTTAATGGGGAATTCAATTTCCGATGATTCAAATAATTCAGCACCTGCAAACTGTATTTGTTTTTTTTCCCCAACAGCAAAATTTTGCTATGGGGTCTTTAGCCCAGATTAGCTCCTGTGCGATCCGGTGCAGCTTCAACACCAGGTTCCGGACAAGGTTCCGGAGGGTTCTGGTGCAGATACCTCGTGAGGTTCCGGAGGGTTCCGGTGCAGATACCTCGTGAGGTTCCGGAGGGTTCTGGTGAAGATGCGTGGTGAGGTTCCGGAGGGTTCCGGGGCAGATACCTTGTGAGGTTCCGGAAGGTTCGGTGCAGATACCTCGTGAGGTTCCGGAGGGTTCTGGTGAAGATGCGTGGTGAGGTTCCGGAGGGTTCCGGGGCAGATACCTTGTGAGGTTCCGGAAGGTTCGGTGCAGAGACCTTGTGAGGTTCCGGAGGGTTTTGGCGGAGAAGATGCTTGGTGAGGTTCCGGAGGATTCCGGTGCAGATACCTTGTGAGGTTCCGGAGGGTTCTGGTGCAGATGCTTTGTGAAATTCCAAAGGGTTCCGATGTGTTTTATGGATTTTTATGGTATAGTTACTTACAGTATATAATTTTTATGGCATAAGCACTATTTATGGCAAAAACGCGAAAGCTTTCAAGCTGTTGGGGATAGCACCTGAGTTTATTGTTCAGGTACCTCTCTTGGTGGCTTCATATGAGTCCCGATTAGAAAACATGTAAAGATAACTGCAGGAATTTTGGTGCACAGAAAGTGTTTGGAGGGTTCATTTCTGGTTGTTTCCTGTCAATTCAGCAGATCAGCTTTGGCCCAAAGAAAACACTCGTGAAATCTAACATGGAACTCATTGCTGCGGCCACGTTTTCCTGACCAAAAATCTAGAAACCCGCCCTTTCCACTCAGGAAGTGGCAAGCGCAGTCGAAAACGCTCGCGCAGCCGCAAGCGAAGTCGCAGCGGCAGCAAGCGGACCGGTCCAGGGAGGGTCGTTCGCTGTGGCCGTGCAGGTCGTGTACCGACTGTAGCGCAATATCCGCATCCCAGTTCGTTTTGGTGTCGTAGTACTTTTTGTTGTTGTTGTGTTATCGTATAGACATATCATGACATCGTTTCTATAGAAATATCAGCCTACCTACTAGCTATGGCTATCTTTTTATCTTTTCTATATATGGATTTAAATATATTCATATATATATATGGCTATCTTTTTATCTTTTCTATATCTATATCTTAATTATACCGCCATGAAAAATCACCGCAGGAATCAATGGCAAGAAATCGCTACGCTTCCTCCGTATTCACCGCAGGAAGCGTAGCCGCAGCAGCCGAAAGAAGCGGAGTCGCAGCCGCAGCAAGCGGAAGCGCAGCCGAAGTGCCTTGGAGCAACGGAAGCCGAGCCGTGGAAAGGGAACCGTGGGCCCCGAAAACAGAGGGAATTTAACCAGGATGCAAAGACGGTAAAAATATGGTGATTGAACATGATTTAACATAATTTAACCATCAAACATAAGGATTGAACATGATTGAACCATGAAACATTTGGTGATCAACAATGAAAAAAAATTATATAAGGACTTCACCATCAAAAAATAGGGATTGGATAATTCAGCACTCAAAAAACCACGAACCAGCAAGAATTAGGGAATTGGCCAGCAAAACATGGTGGATTTAAGGGGGCCGATGGGTATTCAGGGATTGTACTCTGGAACAGGTAGGAGAAACCTCTCTTTTCACAGATAAAATTTACGGACTCTTGGGGTCACTTTTGGACTGAACCACGGTTGTTTCAGATAGGATAAGATCCCAGTTGACACAGGGCAGGAAGCGCAGGAAGCGTAGCAGTGTGCTTTGAGTTCTGAGGTTGGGCAGAGGTCTCAATTCTTTTATCAATCATTGTCTTCAACCATCAATCATAACATATTATCAAGCCACACCTGTAAATATACACCAGCATGTAAATACATGCATTTAAATTTAGAATCATTTAAAATTAGATGAATCTAAAGTAGTATAGCATATAAAATCATATAAATCTCTTTCTTTCCTGTTTCGTTCGTTCGTTCGTTCTTTCAAAACATGCCCCCAAGCGGCGGCGAAGCGGCGAAGACCCCAGGTCGAAGCACTCGACGAAGGAGGACGAGTCGACGAGTCGATGTTGAGGGAAGCAACGGATTGATGGGATGCAGATGGAATTTTTCGGAGTTAAAGCAGATGAAGGTACCCTCTGGTAAACTAACATAGCTATTGAAAATCACAATTTTTAATGGGAAAACTCACTATAAATGGCCATTTTCAATAGCTATGTTAAATTACCAGAGGGTAAATGATGGTAACGGAATTATGGATTACCATCTGATTGAACGGAGATTTCGTGATGAAGTCACACAAAAAAATTATGGATTTATGAGATGAAATTGTGGATTTAACGGAGATTTCTATGATGTTTCTGGCAGATGAAGGTAAATGATGCTTGTTTTTTTTACGGTTTGAAAAAAGGGGAAATCATCCCAAGATTGGCCTAAAGCAAGGATTTAACCATTGGGAAGTGATTTTTTTTGGGGCAATGATGCGGGACATTTTACTATATGCCAACTACATCCAAGTATATCCAAGTATAGCTTTAAAACATTGGAAGTTAAAGTGCCTTTCAATTCTTCCAGCAATGAATTTGGTTATATATAACATTACTGGTTGGTGGTTTGGAATATTTTTAATTTTTCAATATATTGGGAATGATAGTCCCAACATGTCCCAGCTGACTAATATTTTTCAGAGGGGTTGAAACCACCAAACAGATTACATAACAACAATTTTGGTCATCTTCGGAAGTCACCAAAAAATATGGCCACCTGACCAGTACTGGACAGCACTGGCAGAAAGCAGCCTCCTTCTGCAACCGTAAATCATCATGTTTATCGTCTCATAAATCCTCTATTTAAAGTCTATGGGCCGGCGATAAACATTCCCTACGATCAGAATGATCAGATTCTGCAGAGATTTTTCATCGTTGATGTGGTTTAAGAATCTTAGCCATTGAATACTGGGGATTCATAGATGTCCTTTTCCCATTGGTTGGTTGATTAATACAGGGGTTTGAAGAGACCCCTGACCCCTTTAACAACAGGTAAATGATAGATGGTATACCAAAGCGGCCCATTTTTTTTACCAAACGGACATATTATTGACTGGGGATGTTTCAATGGATATTCCTGGCTGATCTACCTGTCTGATTTCATCGATTTTCATATGCTACTGACCCGATTCCTAGGATAAAAAGGCCCTTTCGTATGTCCTCTTTGAAGCGGTTCATAGGCTTGATTCTAATCATCATATGCAAATTAATATGCATATATATATATACATATATAATATAATATATGTAATATATAATATATCTGATATATATATAATACAATATAATATATATAGTATATAATATATACACATTATATATAATATTTCTATACAGCAAGTATGTATGTATTCATATGCATGAACTTACTCCCACTTGGAGGATCATCCCATGGATCGTAGGCTAAAAAATGGTTATGAAAACCAGTTACAGATGATATAGCAATCCCCAAAAAGATAGAACCATGTTTCCAGCAGGTTATAGATGATATTTCTTAGATATTTCCAGGTTTCCCAGTTTTTTTGTTCTTAAATCTATTTGATTAAGGGTTGCTTTATAAGAAATTGTGATTTTCCATAGCTACTGTGGATGGTTGCGAAATCCTGCACCTGCTTGGATGATTGAAAGCCTATAAATAATGGGATAAACTTACCACCTACAGGATGGGGCCCCCAAGATAGCTAAGTTGCCTTGTAAATGGCTTAACTATGGTTTATGGTAGATATAACTATAGTTAATGTACTATAGTTAATGGGGGTAATAAAGGCTTATCAACCAACTTATAACTGTGGGGCCCCATCCTGTATCAACTGGTGCAGGATTTCGCAACCATCCACAGTATGTTAGACTACCAGACACTCAAGCATCACACAGAGCAGGAGCCGAAGGCGTTCCCGCAGCGGAAAGCGGAAGGACAGCAGTAGCCTGGGTACCCAGCAGTTTCTGCTTGGAGGGTGGCTGCAAAATCAGGAACGATGGCCCCAAGTGATAGGCAGGACTGGTGATAAATAGGGATGCAATGAGAGCAGACTGGGATATAATGAGAATATAATGGCAATATACTGGGATAATTGGATATGTAGGGGTTTGGGTCTATCCGAAAATGGGGTAAGTCCTCTGACAATTTAACACGGAATATGTTTTGACACACCCATATGCTGAACAAAGATGGCAACATATGGTAAAATCTAATCCTACGATTACCCTCTGCCTCTGGTAAACTAACATAGCTATTGAAAATTGCCATTGAAATAGTGGAATTACCATTGAAAATGGCGATTTTCAATAGCTATGTAAACGTTTACCAGAGGGTACGTTTGTCATGGTTCCCGGTGATGTTTTTTCTCCGTCTAGAGATTGTATGATCTCCATAGAAGGCTGGTACGTCTGGAGGTTTGCCTCTAAGTTTATGAGATTTGCCATGGCTACGTATGTCCCCAAGGAAAACCATTGTAACCCCATGAATACTGTAGTTATACCTACCATAAACCATAGTTAAGCCACTTATAAGGCAAAAAGCTGATTGAAAACTGATTTACATTTTTTTAAACACTCTGTTTAAGTCATAAATATTGACTTACTAAAAATCGTATTGGGAAACTGTACCCACTGCTCAGAATTCATTTCGGTATGGGCATCACTTTTCCAAGCCTGGTTCATTTCTTTGTTTTGAGGCTGGGGTTTGCATTTCAGATTCTTTTGTGGGGCTATATTCTCAGTAACGATGTAATTATTCTGTCCTTAAATGAGAACACGACAGACAGACAGACACTGAGGCAACTCGAAACGTGAGGTATTGGTGTTGGGCTTTGTATAAGGAACCATCACCACTTGATAGTGATGGCAATGGCTATGAGGTGGCCTTGCTGCTGCTGCCGCTTCTGCTTCCTTTGCTTGTATCGTTGCACCAGCAGCAATGATTGCCAACGATGTAAGAGAATCCTGAAAGATATCGCGCTGTCAGTCACAATCATTTGATATTGCATGTATTTCCAATATTCTTTGTTTCCCAGAATGAGTTAAAGTTAAAGGGACAATTTACGGGAACACCCAATGTTTGGGTGGCTTGACATTGAAATTTTCCTTGTAGAATGTTCCTTTAACCAACAAATCATTAAACAGGATGATCAATTGGAGAAGAACCAAAGTTGGCTAATTACTATTTATCTATAATTCCCTTAAAGTTGGATCTAAATCATGAAATTCCACCAAAGAACCAGTCCGTTTTTGTTGATTGTCAACCACCGTTATCACGGAAGAGTTCCCGTGTAGAAAAAGGGCTCCCAACGTGTACTTTTGGGATGGAATATGGCATAAAGAAGCCATTTTTTTCCACCCAAAGTGGCTATCATCTGGTTATGTCAAAATAGCTATTGAAAATGGCCCAGTCGAAATAGTGGATTTTCCCATGAAAAATGGTGGATCTTTCCATAGTTATGTTAGTTTACCGGAGGGTATCATCTAGCTATGGTCTGGAGCAATCCTGTAAATGACCAATTTTGTCCTCCTTTGAGCTGTGATTCACCTAGAATTCCTGGATTTGCTGATGATTTTTGGGTGAACGACTGGGGAATCCGCAGGGAAGATGTTTGTTAAAAACTTTTTGGGGCTTCTGAATCAATCCAAGTGAACTGCAACAAAAATGATGGTCTAACTGGAACTGCTTGGTGGTTTGGAACATGGGATTATTACTAGGGATATAATATAGGGATTATTAAGGGTTAATACTGGTTAACAATGGTAAATTAATTGTAACTGGTTAGTGGTTTGGAACATGACTTTTATTTTCCCTGAGAGTTGGGATGATGATCCAATCTGACGAACTCATATTTTTCAGAGGGGTAGGTATACCACCAACCAGATAACTATGGTTATATATCCACTTAGTTCACTGGAATTGCACTTCTAAGTACCAATAGCTTGGAGCAACCCATAGTAAACATTTCCCGTTCACCAAGCCATAGTAAAATACCTAGGCCGCCGCCGCAAACGCAGCAAGAGCCGTGGAAGACGGCGGCGGAGCAGTGGCGCGGCCATTCGGAATCGGGGAATGGCGTTCTCATCCACAGATGGGGATTAGAGGGGATTTAAAAGGGATGATCAGAAGGGGTTATGTATAACGTATATAGATGGGGATTAGAGGGGATTTAAAAGGGATGATCAGAAGGGGTTATGTATAACGTATATAGATGGGGATTAGAGGGGATTTAAAAGGGATGATCAGAAAGGGTTATGTATGACGTATATATATATATATGTAACGTATATATATATGTTTATATATATATATATTTATATGTATATATATATATCTATGTATATATACACATATATTATATATATATATATCAATATCTATGTATAATATATATATATATGTTCACACATACAGATAGAACTAACATTTTTGCCATTTTCGCATCATGGAATCCTTGACCAATGAAAATGCCAAATACTGCTGCCCAGGTAGCGGCAGTCGAAGTCGTGGACGGAAGGTGGGACTACTGGGATTCACAACGGCAACCTTTTTTGGGATCAACCAGTAAAATATGAGGATCTTTGGCCCAAAAAACGAGCATCTTGGTGAATGGATGTGAATGGTATATAGGTTTTGGCTTTCGAAGATTTTAAGCGACTTTCCGACTTTGGTCAGGCCGTGTCAGTGGAGGTATTGTCATTATGAAGGTACAATACAACGGTTGGTGGTGACTGGAACATGGCTTTTATTTTCCATATATTGGGAATTTCATCATCCCAACTGTTCAACTGACGAACTCATATTTTTCAGAGGGGTAGGTCAACCACCAACCAACTATCTTACGAATATAGGCCAAAGCTAGGCCAAAGGTACTACGTTTACGGCTGCCGTCAACAACCATGTGGACTTAATCCCGAGATGGTACATGATGGTACCAATAGTTCCAGCGTTTGATTTGTCCAATATCCAACGAGATTTTCCTCATCCTGTCGGTATAGTTTAACCCATAAAACATGGATGAGTAGTCACACATGTTTTTCCATGGGGGTCTATACTCATCCATGACTTGTGAGTCCCAAGAATTGTGTGCCGAGCTCATCAATGAAGAGTTAGACCCAGCAGTGTGAGTATCAACAGTAGGAACCTTCAACCCTCCACTTACTTGCAAGGTTTATTCACAGGGCTCCAATCCATGGTAAATGATCGCCACTTTTGTGACACAGTTTTCCCTAAATTTGCCTCTATATATCCGGCCCTTGATCCCCCGTTTTTTTCTGGGGTCTCCAGCATCGTCTTTGGGTGGTCAAAGATTGAGACTTGGCTGGTTGCAGATGTTGGTCCATTTCTACAAGGTGGGATTTCTGAAGCTTCTGTGTTTTGGTTTATGATCTCCTTTGGTTAGTTTGATATATCTGAACACGATAGAATATATAGAATGTAGAATTCACCTGGGCAAATTGGCACCAACTTAGCTATCGTAAACGAGCACCCCACCGAACGTAGGATCGTAAACCATTTCATCTTTGGAGCCAATTTTAGGATTGTAAACCAGCTGCTACAGGACCGAAAGAAAAAGAAGAGCCGCAGCAGCAGCCGCAGCGGGGTCTCCCGGAGATTTCAGGGTATGGCAACCCCCAAAAAGATAGAAGGTGGTAAACTCCTGCTCAATTACTTTTCCACGGTTTTTTGGGGTTACTATACTCCAAAACCATGGGTACTGAAACTTTGAATGATTTGGCTTCGCCACCAGCTGTTCAGGGGCTTGGAACCAAAGTTCGACCCCGTAGTCAGATTCGGCTATCCCAAGTCGGTTGAAATCTTGAAAGCCTTGTGATCTGGTGATGACTGGTAAAACACCTTGGTTTCCGGATTTTTCCCTTCCATTGATGTCTGACGGTTGAGATGGTCGAGACCGGACCGGCAAGGCAAGAGTCGGGGCCGTCGGCGGCGCGACAGCAGCGGCAGCCGCAAGAAAGATAAGGCGCGGTTGTGGGGTGGGTCAGGCTGTAGCCGTTGTGGAAGGTGTCTCTGGCAATTTGAGCGATTTTAGATGGTAAATATACATCAAATCTTGGTCAGTGGTTGAGAATGGTTCATACTGGGGAATGGTCAATCTCTTTTTCTGAAATATGAAAAAGTTGGATGAGATCGGGATATGTATTTTAAATACGTAATCTGGTTGAATTATAATAATCTCACGTAGTGACGTCACTGGAATGATGGGTTGTATGGGAAATCACACTCAAATTACTGTAAATGGCCTTATGATATTTGAACACCATATAGTCTCACCCAACTGTTTGCCACTATTTTTCTGGAATATCTGGAATATATCCGCCACTTAAAGCGAACAGTCCGCATGGTTAGTGCATGAAGATCAACATGGTTCTCAAACTTCGTCCCTTCCGGGAGCCCCTTATCTCCGTCACAGGAGAAGGAGAAGGCGATGGCGTCTCGGGAGAGGGGTGCTGTTCCGGATCTTTCATCAAACATGGTGATTTTCCAGCAAGCCATGGAGTTGATCCAACCCGAGGGAAAACCTAAGACCTAAGGGAAATGATGATTGTTGTAGTCTACAGTCATTCAAAAAAGCACAGGAAAACCGAAAACCCATGGAAAACCCACCATGCGGACTCAGAAGATCAGGTACAAATCCATGTTGGTTTCCCCATTTTCCGATCCGAAGATTTCCGTCGAGCCAACAGGAAGAAACCAGGGAAAACTGAAGGTGCGGTCACAAATTTATGCATCAAGTACTGCAGTGACTATTTTAGATCAGAATTTATTTCATGGATAACCGTGGGATGGTTTAGACCACAACACTGGGATGATTATTTTATTAACAATGGTGTCAAACCATCCCATTGTTTTGGCATACTGAATATTTGACCCAAACCCGTGCAAGGGGGGCCTGGGTTCTAAGACTTTCTGCGGAAATCCCATAGGTTTCGATGCTTTGTACATTTCATCAAATTTCATATCTGATTACTATGATTCTCCTTTTGAAGCACAGGTTTTAAATCCAGCTTTTTAAGCCAACATTTCCGAACTGGCTTTCCACCCATCATTTTGTTTTGCTTGGGTTCAGCCCCCCCTGGGATGGCTAAGAAAACCACGATCTCTAGGAGAAAGACAAGGAGAAGGTTGGGATGTTGGGGGTCTGGTGGGTCGACCATAGTCGACTTCTGCTTGTGGATACCCTCTGGTAAACTAACAGTTTGCCATGAAAAATCACCATTTGGAATAGGTCAATCAACTGTTAATGAGCCATTTTCAATAGCTATGTGACAAATTACCAGATGGTAGTAAGCTCGACAATTCATGCAGAGCTTCAGTGGAAAAAAGTCACGCCATTTTTGGAGATTTGGATTTGACATATTTGACAAACTTCTAACCAACTTCAAAAAATTGACTTGGGAGTTACAGTACATTAATGACCAGATTTCCGAGGCTGCAACCCCAAAAATGGTGAATCGCTATGATTCGTCGTGACCAAAAGAACTGACCTCGGCGGACCTCATCGTAAACATTTGTACAGCATGGGGCCCCTCAGTTAGAAGTTGGTTTATAAACCCCAGGAAAACATAGGAAAACTATAGTTATATCATGTTATATCTCAGTATATCTACCATAAACCACAGTTCATTCAGCCACAGCCATATCTGGGCCCTTGGCTCGCTATCTGCTTCGGGGCCATCCGGTAAGTTATTGTTCAGGATCCTGGGAATCGCAAATGGTTCAAAAACAGGTGCAGCAAGGCACCTGGTTTTGATCCTTTTTTTGTATTGTGGATATATGGGATATATATATATATGTATATATGGATATATGGGATATGGCCCATAGCACTGGTAATCAAAGCTGGCAATTTAAAATCCCCAAAGATCATTGGCTAAATGGAGGTTAAACAATAGGAAAATCAACCAGACATGGTGCATTTTCCAGCAAACCATGGTTGATGACACCGGAGGGTAAGCATTTATATCATTCAGGTCATTCTCGGTAGACGCAACAATGTCAAGGACTTCAGCAACAAGAATGTTCTATTTTTTTTTCAGAAACAGAACATTTGGTAGTCGCAAAAAGAAAGTGGATTCAACCAGCCAACAAGTCAGCGTTTTGAACATCCCTGCGTCTATTAGAAGAAATTTTGGGAATCCCATTGAAATGGAGGAATGCTCCATGCTTCCTGCAAAATGATCAAAATGTTGAAATGGTCACTTCTCTACTCTGGAAATTCTTACTGGTGCTTAGTAGGGAATGGATGGGAATGGGGGAATGGGATGGATGATTATTACTAGTGATTATGGATCATTCCCTCATTCCCGACTAAGCACCTGTCGGAAATTTGGAATGGACCCTGAACCGTTCTTTTTTTGATGGCAGTTGCTTCCTGAACGTCATCCAATCGAGGACTTGAATATTTCTTTTCGGGGTGTAGTTGCGAACGACCTCCCAACATGTACTTTTTGGGAAACCCGGCGACGCACGGAGTTTGACCATTTCAAATGGAATTTCCTACAGCAGGGTGCTTCTCTCAGATAATGTGATCATGACGGTGTGATCAATCAGATCAATCATTCAGGAGAAGGAGAAAGATAAGAAGAAAAAGAAGAAGCGGCTCGGCACACTTCGGCTTCGGAGTCAGGAACTCCGCTAAAAACGTCACCCACATAAAAAAGATATCTGGACCATGAAAGATACCAAAAGCGTAGTTTATTACAGTTGCTGAAAGGAACATCTCATCGAAAGTCAACTTCCACTTGGAACTGTATTGCACATTATTCCCATACGCTCCAAGTATGGTATATTTACCTAAATGTTGGTAAACATTCCATACATGGAGCATATGGGATTGTATAACCACTTGGATTGTCGGAGATAATGCTTCACTGACTTTTTTTTTAAAGACTGATCGTCCCGGGTGATTTAGCAATTTCATAAAACAACCTGGATTAGTCAGTGATTTCATGGTTCCATTCAACATATGATCCAGATTTCCCTCGGATTTATGGATACCTGATATAACCAATCAAACATGGAATCCATACATGGATATATGAAAAAAACAAAAATAAAAGATAATACATAATTCACCATAATCCATATCAAGACATATATAATCCATTTTTGATATTTCATGGTTCCCATATTTTTTCGGGTCCAGGTAGGCTGACCCACTTAGAACTTCCTCCAAGGTCCAAGTCAAGCAGCGAGAGTGGCCCTGGGCGATTTTTTGTTTGCTGCGGAGCTGAAGAATTTCGGAAGAAATCCATGGAATCTATGGCTTGATCACGGTGAATCAGCCAATGATTTTCCGATTTTGTTGATTTGAAGAGTTTTTGAATTTAGTTTTTTCTGTGTTTTTTTGTTTTTTGATGTTTTTTTGTTTTTTTTTGGTCCACTAAATGGATATATCATGATATACGGATCGAGGGGCAGGCTTAGGGTGATCGAATCATCATGATCCCGGTGGATCCCTGGCTGCCTCGGGGGTCAGTCTCACATTTTCAGAAAATCCTACAGGATGACGGATGGTGTCCCCCAGTGATGTGAACGTTGGTTTTAAAGCCCATGAATACTATGGTATCTACCTAATGAACCAAAGTTAATTCAGCCACTTACTGTATATATATATATCTCAACTGAACTCGCTCGCTCGTTTCCGTTTTCCCCATCCATGAAATCATGTGAGTAAAGCAATAGGATCCACCATCCCCAATGGCTTAGCATTTTTAAACAAATTGAAGCCGCTTAAGCCAGATTAGGGTGCTGTGAATGACATTGCTTTACCAACATGTTTGTCATTATTATATAGCCAGTATTGTCGATAATTATTCCATGATTATCAACCAGTAATCATTATTATAAATCATTACTATTACTAATTATTATTGATCATATGAAATACCATTGAATTGACATAGATGACCATCATTCCGGGAGATTCTAAACGACAGACAGCCCTGCCAGGTAGCAGTTCTGAAGAGGAGAGGGTGCAGATTTGGGTGATTTTTTGAATGGCAGGTGTCCAAAGCAACCGGGGATAGACATATATCTTTTTCATAGGGATCCTGATTCTACAGTAACTTAATTTCAATATCAATATAAATACATAAATATGTTTACACAATATATATATAATATAATATACAGTATGTATATAATGTATATATATATAAGTATATATATATATACATGTACACATAGCTAAACATACACAAGCATTTTCAAGAGCCAAGAGAGGGGGACAACTTCCATTGTACGATGACTGCGGGGTCTCATTTTTCGACTCAGACTGCCTTGTGATGTTCATCCACCGCAAGCCTTGGTTTATCTGGTTAATCTACTTCCATAGCCTCCGGTCATCAAACATGGCAATTGAACATCCTCTATATTTCCATGCCGGTCTTTAGCTAGGAAAATCATCCACTTAAATGATGGCAAGCCGCAAACGTGCCACGTTTTATCCACGTTGGCACCAGAGGGTAGCGGGGCAGGGCCCTGGAAATCTGCCTAGGCGTGAAACACCTCATAAATGGTCCCAATGATGTCGCAATTCCCAACCAAAAAAACCATGGTTTCTAAGGGGGGTGTTTTTTATTAGGGGAAGATGGGGGAAGGGATTATATCAAATGATGGAGGTTTCAATCCATGGGAGAGTTCTTAAATTTCCAATGTTTTTTGGATGGCACATCCAGTTGACACCGCCGATTTTGAATGTTGGGATTCCATGTTGGAAAAAAACCCATGCATTTCCGTTGTGCTGTCGAATTGATCTTTCATCCATATGTACCAGTGGAAAAGCTACAATTTTCAGGTTTTGCTTGGGTGCGTCATAGAGGTGTTGACCCGTGGCATGTTAATTAATACTGCCGCACCTGTGGCTTTAGGAATTTGATCATGGATGGCTTTCGAATATACCTGTGGCCGGGTCGCTTTTTTGATGACTCAAAACGGGTCTAGGACCAACACACGTGCAGATGCAACAGAACTCCTGTAACCCGCCAAATGAGATAAATGCCTAACTGGTTGGTGATTTGGAACATTTTTTATTTTTCCATATATTGGGAATAATCATCCCAACTGACTAATATTTTTCAAGATGGTAGGTACACCACCAACCAGCCAATATTCGATAGATCGAATCATCCAACAACAAACTTGTCCTCCATTTTGTTGGGAAGTTTTTCACGGCATCAAGATCATCAAGTACCGTTCTTTTCTTGTGGGAACGAGGGCATCTTGACTCAGACCAAAGCTGGGAGGAACCATAGTGCCCCTCTGAAATCTTACATGAAACGCCCAAAACGGGTTCACAACTGGACCTGGGGATATGGTGCCTGGTGAGGACAAGAAGAAGAAAAAGAAGGATGACAGTGACGACGATGCTTTGGCGGTCTTTTCGGGGAACGTCTTTGGCGGTCTGGGGATTGTGCCTGGAAAAATGGGGGGGCGAAGCCCATTAATAGGGATGATGGCCAAGAGAATCCCTACCCTCTGGTAAACGTTCACATAACTATGGAAAATCACCATTTCACTATAAATCACCATTTTCAATGTGTAAATCCACTATAAATCACCATTTTCAATAGCTATGTGACAAATTACCAGAGGGTAATGGATAATAATGGTGTGATGACCACATCCACAAATCCTTATCACCCGTGTCTTGATGGTTGGTGATATTGTCACTGCTTCATGTACACAAAATCCATAGAATAAATCAACAAAGTACCTGACAGTGACAAAGAATACATGATTCATGATTCATTCATGATTCATATTGCTGGATTTTCTTCAATGGGCTCCATGACATCCATCACAGGGTCAGCGGTCAGCATCTGTCAGCCCCCTTGGCGCTGATTTTGTAGCGAGCCGAGCGTTTCTTTCTACAAGGGAAATAGGGCACGACATCATGGGGAAAAAAATAATTGGCCCAATATCATTCGAATTTCTTGTATACGAATGTTCCCTTCAGCCAAGTCTGGGACTGGCAACTGCGAAGATCCACTTGAACAGTGACCAAAACATACCAAAACCCCCATTGATGGATTCTTATACAGGGCTACCTGCTTTATTTCGGATTATGGTGAACCCTGGGAATCCCGAGAAGCTTGACTCAACCGAGGACAAGGACGATTCAGAAGATGAAAAGGAAGACAAGGTGGGGGTGCTCGGCCTGGGACCTAAACATTGGGTCAATGAGTCAAAAGGAATCAGTTGATTATAATTGACTATTACTATTGACTATTGATTATAAATGACTATTACTATTGACATTGACTATTTGTAATAGTTTTGTAAAATAACACATGAATGAAATGACTATTACTATTGACTATTGATTACTGGGAACATTTCTATGAGTCTATCAACGATTATGACTATTACTAGATAGTATTGACTATGTTCCCAATTTAATCAACCATTGCATATTTCTGAACTTCCTCTGAACCGAGTCCAACATGGAATTCCCAAGCAGAAATAGCTCTGGTTGTTCCTATGCTACTGTGGATGGAAGAAATCCTGCACCAGTTGATGGATGGTTTATCCCATTATTTATAGGGTTTCAACCATCTAAGGTGGTGCAGGATTTCTTCCACTCACCGTAGGGTTCAGGATGCCTACATAACAAATGCTTGGAACTTGGAGCGAGTTTCCCCGTTGGAGCTTCGAGGAAACGGTGGGCTTGCGCCATCCTGCAATTCGCTAACCTGGTGGTAACTACGAACAATAAAATAATACCACTATTATTAATCCATTTTAATAATTACCAGGTTATTATAGTTCAATATTATCCATTGGTATTAATCACCAGGTTATTTTATTGTAATCCATTTTATTGTGAATAATGGGATTGCAATAAAATCAACCGTCTACCAACTGGTGCAGGATTTCTTCTGGTGATTTCTTCCACAGTATCAAATTGTGGAGTCACCATTTCTTGACCCAATGTTTGTGAAAATCTGCAATCTTCAGTGAGTATATACGACGCTGACGTGTATGTGGATGCTGGAGGTATATGCGCCACAACTATATTGTAAGATTTCCCCACATATTTAAAGCAAAAACACATTCCTGCATGTATCACTAGATTGAAGAACAACATATCCCCTTTGACTCCAGCCAGAAAACGCTAAGTTGGATAATTGACGGATTCCGTGCTGACTTTGTTGCCACAAACTAGGAACCCGGCGCATAGACGGCCGTGGCTCAAAATGAGGATTGAGTATCATCCAGCATTGATTTTCTATGCGTTTGGAGAGGATTGTCCCAGGTGTATACACGTTCCGTGGCTGAATTCCATTGGGAAGTTAGCAAAATGGTGTTTTCGCCTCAGGGAAACGATAATTTTCATGCTTTTTTGAAATGACGTACCTACTTTGTCTATGCAAGGACTTGTTTCTTTTTTTCTTCATCTGATGGCATCAATCCTGCGGCAGCAGGTCCTCCAAGTGTTCCAAGAATTCGCTCGGGCTCACATGTGTACGCAAGGTACATGAACGTTAATATCCCCCCCCACCCCACCCATGCCCAGTGACGTAGCAGCAGCGTAGCATCCACGTGTGTACGCAAGGTACATGAACGTTAATATCCCCCCCCCCACCCCACCCATGCCCAGTGACGTAGCAGCAGCGTAGCATCCACGTGTGTACGCAAGGTACATGAACGTTAATATCCCCCCCCACCCCACCCATGCCCAGTGACGTAGCAGCAGCGTAGCATCCACGTGTGTACGCAAGGTACATGAACGTTAATATCCCCCCCACCCCACCCATGCCCAGTGACGTAGCAGCAGCGTAGCATCCACGTATGTAGGCAAGGTACATGAACGTTAATATCCCCCCCCACCCCACCCATGCCCAGTGACGTAGCAGCAGCGTAGCATCCACGTATGTAGGCAAGGTACATGAACGTTAATATCCCCCCCCACCCCACCCATGCCCAGTGACGTAGCAGCAGCGTAGCATCCACGTATGTAGCAAGGTACATGAACGTTAATATCCCCCCCACCCCACCCAGTGACGTGCCCGTGACGTAGCAGCAGCGTAGCATCCACGTATGTAGGCAAGGTACATGAACGTTAATATCCCCCCCCACCCCACCCATGCCCAGTGACGTAGCAGCAGCGTAGCATCCACGTATGTAGGCAAGGTACATGAACGTTAATATCCCCCCCACCCCACCCATGCCCAGTGACGTAGCAGCAGCGTAGCATCCACGTATGTAGGCAAGGTACATGAACGTTAATATCCCCCCCCACCCCACCCATGCCCAGTGACGTAGCAGCAGCGTAGCATCCACGTATGTAGGCAAGGTACATGAACGTTAATATCCCCCCACCCCACCCATGCCCAGTGACGTAGCAGCAGCGTAGCATCCACGTATGTAGGCAAGGTACATGAACGTTAATATCCCCCCCACCCCACCCATGCCCAGTGACGTAGCAGCAGCGTAGCATCCACGTATGTAGGCAAGGTACATGAACGTTAATATCCCCCCCCACCCCACCCATGCCCAGTGACGTAGCAGCAGCGTAGCATCCACGTATGTAGGCAAGGTACATGAACGTTAATATCCCCCCCCACCCCACCCATGCCCAGTGACGTAGCAGCAGCGTAGCATCCACGTATGTAGGCAAGGTACATGAACGTTAATATCCCCCCCCACCCCACCCATGCCCAGTGACGTAGCAGCAGCGTAGCATCCACGTATGTAGGCAAGGTACATGAACGTTAATATCCCCCCCACCCCACCCATGCCCAGTGACGTAGCAGCAGCGTAGCATCCACGTATGTAGGCAAGGTACATGAACGTTAATATCCCCCCCCACCCCACCCATGCCCAGTGACGTAGCAGCAGCGTAGCATCCACGTCAAGGTACACGTGTAAAGGTATCCATGAACGTTAATATCCCCCCCACCCCACCCAACCCCCATATAGCTAAAATATGTAGTTCGGTCCACGGCCGTCTATGCGCCGGGTACCAACTACTCAGATTATGCGTAACATGTTGACAATCACAGTTAGGAAGTGTACATCTCGTGAAACCTTCTAAATGAGAACCTACATCTACTAAAAGTTTGAAATCAGATCATGTTCGCCCTGGAAGCTCTGCGTGGCATCAAACTCTCTCACGTTTTGTTTTGTAGTCGTTGGAAGGCCAAGACCAATGCAAAGTCGGCGCATCCTACAAGTTTCAAAGTAGGAACCCATCCTATGAGATTTGGCAGGAAAATGGATTAGGGTTCACTTGTCAATACTTGTCACTAATTATATCTAATTATAATACACAGCTATAATATTCTATAATTCGTAGATGAATCTTCCTCTACAACTTTCGACGTAGGAAGCCAAGTTCTCTGAAAACCTTGGTTTTTCCAAAACCCCCACCTCATGGAAGGGATCCAGTAGCTTAATCGCTGCGGACGTGTGGTGAAAAATCGAACTGCATATCGCTTCTGATAAAAATGAAGTAAATCTGAAGTTCATAGAAGATCCGTAGATTTGCTGAAGCCGTTTCTTGGAAAAACTTTCCATTTGGTTCATCCACTATTTGGGGAATCTTTCAGAAAAGATGCAATTTTCTGAGTGACTCTCCACTAAATTTTCATACGATTTTCTTTTCTGAATGACGAAATGTTGGGACATGTTCCATCATTTTCCACTTGATAAACCCAACAAATTGAGGACATTCATCCACAATAAATTGTGGGATCTGCAGAACATTCCAATTGGGGATGCCGCTGGACGGCTGGAATACACACAGTTGATGGGGCCCCCGGAAACGTTGGCGTTTTCGCGTTCTGGCGTTCAGAAACGAGATATGGATGGCTGTGGCTGAAATCTATGGTTTATAGATGTTTATAGCAAATATAACATGATATAACGATCTAGTTTTTATGGGGTTGATAAACCAACTAACATAACTTTGGGGCACCATCCTGTAGAGTGTCGATGATCGACAGATGATGAATCGCTAACATGAATAGATCCAATACATTCTATCAGCTTACTGATTGGGGGCAATCTTGGAGTCGTGGGTTTATAGAATTGTAACCACACTTAGGGCGTTCCAACTTGGCAACGGATTCCGAAAGCTACTTCCAGGATGGTGGCTATACCCCAAACAGATGCCGAACATGGGACACGTGGAAAATGTGTCACAACCTGAGAGGCCATCTTTTTTTTTGGTGGATTTCTATAAAAACCAAATATTTCTGGACATTGGGTGTCTTACCCTGGATTTTGGGTCCATAAAATATCTGGATTTTGGGTGTCCATAAAGATATCCAATGGATAAAATACCTGGATTTTGGATGATTTTGGGTGTCTTACCCTGGAGAATTTGAGAATTTCGGTTCCATTTTCGACTTCGCCAGTGTGGGCGGTCTCAGGAGGACTCGAAATCCGACGAAGTCGAGGAGGTCAAGCCTCAGGTGCGCCAAATGCGGCGAAAAAAACATCGGGGATTTCGCCCGAAATCCATGAAACATGGGGATTTTCCCTCTGGTTATGACTAACATAGCCATGGTATAGATGGCCCATAGAAATAGATGGCTTACCGTTCTTAATAGCATGGTGATTTTCCATGGCTATGTTAGTCATAACCAGAGGGTGAAGATTTTAAAAGGCACGGACAATCGGATTTCACCGAAAAAAAGGTGATCAACATTGATGAAGCAACAATTTAAAGGGAATGAACCAGCGAATCTTGTAATGACACCTAACAGAGATTGGGGAGATCTGACCAAGAATGCGAGGTATGTTATTAAACGTAGTTGTCTGTACGACTAGCAACAACTGTGATGTGATAGAACCCCTCTGGTAATAAAACATGGCAATGGAAAATCCTCTATAAAGGGAGATTTTAATGGCACATTCATCACATCAATAAATGGCGGATTTTCAGTTGCCACGTTTGATTGCGGAGGGTAACAAAATCATACAATGCCATACATCAAAAGAGGCTTGAAACCTTTTTTCCTGCCTCTACTAAACTATGAATGACCATATACAAGTGAGGGACTCTCTGCGGTCATTCGCATGTGTACTCGTCTTAAGTCTGGAGCCAAAATCGACGACTTGCATGACTTGAGTTACCCTCTGGTTGTTTAACATAGCCATGGAAAATGGCCCATTTATAGATGGTTTACCTATTAACAATGGGTGGATTTTTCCATGGCTATGTTAGTCATAACCAGATGGTATCTTGAGTTTCAAGTTACATGACCAAATTTCAAGTTGCCTTGTGTTGTCCTTAAAGTACCTCTTGTGTTTCCTATGCCATATTCCGAGACGACCGGAATCTGACCACACGATGAACGTTTCTGGCGTTTTTCAGTGGTTACCCTCTGGTAAACTAACGTAGCTATAGAAAGATCCACCATTTTTAATGGGAAAACTCACTATTTCTATGGCCATTTTCAATAGCTACGTTAAATTACCAGAGTGTAATTGTGTTTAATGGTTAATGGTTAATCAATCCAGCTGGTTAATCAATCCAGCTGGTTAATCAATCTGGGTAAATTTCATCACGACCGAACCCTGTTCTCCCTAAGCCTGGAAATCATGGTTTATTTTAGGGAAATCATCCCCATAGCTGGCCGCAAGATTCAGGTTAGTGAAATATTATAATTGACCCTAATGTATGGTATATATGCTAACATAAAGGGGGTATATTGATGGGATCCATGGCACACCATATATAGCAGCACCATGGGCAGCACCATGGATCCGTCATGGGTAATGGCAATGGACTTTAATCTTGGCCCAAGGTCCCAAGGTTGGGGGTTTAGGGTTCAACAATGGAGAACGGTCCAGAAATCTCGCGGCACCCAAGTGAACTTTCACTTTATTTCACTTTGAGTCAGCTGGTCACCGCTTTTTTAAATCTTTGTTTTTGTTTAAACATTTGTTTTATGGTCCTTGGGTCCCTTTTTTTTTGTGTGTCCAAATGTCTGTCCAGCCAGGACGTTGCTCAAAAGCAAGAGGAGGAATTCCGGAAGAAAGCGGCTAAGGCGCCATGGGAAGTTGAAAGCTTGGAAAAGTCGCCCAGTTCTTTTGGGGATAATTCCATCACATATAGTTATATATATATATGATACATATATATATGCATAAAATAACAGGAGCTTATTTTCATGTCCATTAGGAATCACCATAGTATTGGTGAGCAGATGGGCATCCCATAGGTCCCAAACATCACGGAAAGTCACGACGAAAAGCGACGGAATGGCCAGTTCAGGTTAGTGCATTATGGCACATTTGATCCACACAGTATATATATATAAATACATATCTCTATATATATATCATATATATATACATATATATATACATATCATATATCATATATATACATACATATCATACATCATATATATATATATATATCTATACATATCTCCATATTTTCATTGATTCATGAAAGTCCCACTAAAGTCCGATCCGCAGAGTAATTGCTACATGCACTCGCAGGTCAACTTTCACAGAAACTGAACATCCAAGCGAGAAAAGCACCGTATGTTTGATGTGTTTTCTATACAAAAGGAGATGTTCATTGCGTTATGAGCGTTCCGTTCCACTTCTACATGAGTTTCGTATAAGGTGTTAATCCTATCAACCAAAGAAAGATTCTGTCCCAAAATCCATATCTGTAAAATTTACCCGAGAAAGTCCCACTAAAGTCACTCAAGTCGCATCAAAGTGCCATGATGCAAAGACTAATGATCCCAACTGACTCGTATTTTTCAGAGGGGTTGGTTGAAACCACCAACCAGCCATCAATTTCTGTTTCAGGCGGCGGAAGAGGCTAGGGAGGCGGACGATTTCAATTCGGAGCGTCGGACGTCGAGAGGGGAGATGAGGGGCAGATTTCAGCATTTTCACTGATTTGACGAACAGAGGAGAGGTTCTCATCATTTTTGAAACTGTTTTTTTGCTTTAAACCTTGGTTTGGCCAGAAACGATGGCTTTCACCGGGGGATCGAAGGCATAATAGGTTGGCTATGTTCAACAGGGATTCCATCAACAGATCATGGCCATACATGCTCCAGATAAAGCCGACTATATCCACAGATATACATTTATTTATACACAGATTTACATATATATATATATGTATATGTATGTGTATATATATATATTTATGTATCTATATATATATATATACAGATATACATATACATATATAATTATATATATATACATTTAAGAAGCACTACATGGTTCGTCAGGGGACACGCTTGCGAAAAAACTCCCATCCCCCAGCTTTTCGCAGGTGGAAGAGGCCCAAAAGGCGGCGGTGCAGAAGGCGCAGCAGGAGGCCGCGAGGTGCCGGTTCTGCGGTGGTTCATGGGAGAAAATCATGGAAAAAATGGGAAAAACGTGGGAAAATCATGGGGGAAATATGGGAAAATCATCCAACAAATGGAGCTTCTCATGGGAAAATCTTCTAGGAATGGAGGTTTCTAGCTGGAAAAATCATCAAATAAATGGAGCTTTGTAGCTGGAAAAATCCTCTATAAATGGACGTTTTCATGGGGGAAATCATCTAGAATCATCTACAGTCATCTATAATTCATGGGGAAATTGTTTTCTAAAGCGTCAAATTTGGGGATACCATATTTTTAGACGAACCCAAATGCTTCCCCATTTCAAATTTCAGGAACCTAACTTGGAGGTCCCTAACCACATGTAAGGGGCTTTAAGCCTCGCAAATAATATGGCTTATTATATTGTACAATGGCTCCATTTTAGGATCCTGGAATTCACATTGATATAAATGGGGATGTTATGGGATACTATCATAATCTCAACTCAACTGGAGTTGTAACCCATCTAATTGAGGATATTGCCTGCTTGGGGGGTGCAGTTGAGGCTACAAATGGGTATATCCGTGGTTATAACCATAAGTTGGGTTATACAATCTGGGTCTGGATGAATTATAATGACCTCACGCCGTGACGTCACTGGAACGAGAGTGGATGTATTGGAGAATCATCCCCTCAAATGGCAGTATGTTAACAGCTATTTCCAGGTTAATGTCAGATTAATCTATTTGACTATATTCTCTATACTTTCCGGAAATCAGGCATGCCTAGCTGAGAAATCCCCGAACTAAATATGGAGGTTACAGCCATAGCTGGGAAAATCATCGAACTAAATGGTGGATTTGTCACTGTCATGTTTGATGTCACCAAAGGGTAAAAACGCCCATTCTATCCCCATGTTACCCTCAATCAATCCCATTTATGATAGGTTACGTCCCATTACGTCCCATTACCATCCAGGAACTATAGATATGCATCATGGGGGAATATTCCATACATCCGGGGATGATCCATGAATCTAACTGGGACTATGACGATTTCACACATATATATATATACATACATATAGCCCATATGAGTTATAGAGTGGGCTACATAGGGATATATTCCATAGTATCATTTTGAATATTACTGGGTGATATTGTGGGGTGATGAACGCCTCCAATTGCTTGAATGCACGTCTATGGGCAGACTGCCAACCGCATGATAGATGAACAATGAAGTTTTGATCCCTGAAGTTTTTTTCTTTTTTTTTAACCATGAGAAACGACGACATCTTGAGTTTGTTTGCCGTCTTATCGGACTGGATGGGTGGGAAACAATGGGTTAAACTGTTAAAACCAAAGGATCAATTTGGTGAAGACATTGAGAAGGAAGGGAATTAAACTCTAAGAGCCAGGGATTCCAGCGATTGAATGAATGGATAGGGGTGCAGTTGGGGTGATTTGACCATAAGTTTGGATATGGTGATATGGGCCCCAACTATGGCGACAAATACAGACAATGTGGGGACCTCTGGGGATACAGGACTTCAACATATTGCGTATCTGCAGACATTCAGATGAAACAATGATAAAACTTCAAATTAACATTCTAGGTTAACCAACTGGATGGGTAGAAACTAATCCTACTGTCGTCTTTTGGTATCAATGGGATTATCTACGTTCACCAGCTAAGGATTTGTCATTTTTTGCTGGGTATCAAAGATTGGCCATGCATTGAGGATGTAGTCAACAAGCAACAGACATGGGGGTGAAACCGAGAAAGATACAGCTATTGGATGCCATTGGACCAGCAGGGCTTCGCATTGTTGCGCGGTATCACTTGCTTAACCTATGACAACAATTTCCATAAGAAGTAAAAACAACTGGGAGATTACGCGAGATTACTGTACTTGATACTGCATATTACATGTAAATATGGTACATATGAAACATGGCAAACCATTTTGAGCCGATCGGCGCCTATTTGTTGTTGAAACAGCCGTTGGCCAATTCCGCCAGGCAAGAAAAGCGAGAAGCACTGAAGAAGGCTCTGGCGTGTGATGAAAAAACATGGAAAAACATAAAGCCAGTTTCAACTCAGCAATTTGCCTATGAATCTCTGAGACTCTGAATATCCCAGGTGCCGATTTTGATTTCTTTTAGCAATCTCAATATTCTCAAGTCATTCTCGGTACCAGCTTGAAATGCTCTGTAGTAAACAAACATGGCAGTCCGAATTCCGCTGCTGGATTTCCCCTTCCGTCAATTCATCGACTCAAACACCGGAATTTTACCCTTTTTAACATGGACATGGCCCATTGATGATAAACATGATGAATTATATATCAATGAATTACCTACTAAAAATATGGTGATTAGATACGTTAAATAGCCGCGGGGTAGTCATCGTTTTAGTGTCCATAGGTTCCAACCAGATCCGATTTTGGTGTTTTTCCCTGTCCATTTCTTATCATTTCTTGGTATCTCCAACTGTTGGTGTTTTTTTGTTTGAATTCCTGTTTTGTAACGGTTAGACATGGTTAGACCTAATATCAATTTCTGATATTTAACTTGAATACAACGTATATTTAAGACCAATCCTGAATTCCATGGTTCAGTTCAGTTCACATAACCACAACTGGAACTGCAGCCCCAAAGTATGTTTAATGAAACATGGCTAGCGAATTCCCATATTTATGGTTGATCCCAGCTAGAAACCCTCCAATTCTTGCTGCTTCAAGGCCTATTTATGATCACTGGTCATCAGTTCGATGATTTTCCCAGCTAGAAACCTCCATTCCTAGAAGATTTTCCTATTATAGATGACTGTAGATGATTCTAGATGATTTCCCCCATGAAAACGTCCATTTATAGAGGATTTTCCCAGCTAGAAACTTATATTTCCCCCATGATTTTCCCCTGTTTTTCCCAATCATTTCCAGGATTTTGTCCCATTGGCCATGGATCACCTGAGGGTGGCCCTGGTGATCCCCGGCTCGTCCAAAAGGCGGCCTCAGAGGCTTCCAGCGCCGCAAAAGTGGCACAGAGCGAAGCCGAGGAGTGCGGAAGTTTGGTCGCGTCGATGATGGTTTCACTCAGAAAAATGCTGATTTTTGGTGGTTTCAAAGATGAATGGATGATTTTCCATTTCAAAAAAAAGGGATAAGTCATCCCAACCCCATTGACGAAGTCCATCATTTTTCAAGATGGTTATTGCACCACCAACCAGGTTATTATTAACCATCATTAACCATCATTAACCATATAGTAACCATTAATATTAACCATTATTAACCATCATTTTTCAAGATGGTTAAGTCACAAACCAACCACTGGCGATTTTTCATGGTTTTTTCAGCAACAATGGTGACTTTTCATGGGGATTTCACCAAGAAAAATGGTGATGTTGGGGATGCGGCCATGAAAAATGGTTTAACCGTCTCAGAAAATACGGTGATTTTTCATGGGATTTTTTTACCATGGGATATCACCAATAAAATTTAGATGCGCTTTACTGTTTTATGGGAATTTCACCAACAGAAGTGGTGATTTAATTGAATGTCATGGGAATATTATGGGGAAAATGATGAGATATACAACCAAATATATGGGGTGTGTCTGAAAATGGTGTATATCCTCCCAAAATGGCCACTTGTGTGGGGAATAGATGGAGAGCATTCAGGGAGTTTACAGGGAGTATATAAGTATAAAGTATATGGGCACGCGATGCCGCTATGCAATGAGTCATATATAGGTACGCTATGAAACATGTGTAGGTAGTATATGATATGGGGTGTAGGGAGCATATATAAGGTAGTGATGAAGCAATGTATATACTACGCATAGGCATATATATGATTATATAATGCTAATTGGGTATTTTTTACTTAGGTAGTATATATATATATACATACATACATATTTGTATGTACATACTGCATCCAACCATATAGTATATAGCATATAGGATTATATAAATATGCATAGTTATGCTTTGATTATATAATATATAGGTAGCAAATATGTAGCATAAACTCATACAATGAGTGGTAAACCATGTGTGAGGTATGCTATAGGCAGTACATAGACAGGTTTTGGGTATTATGTGCTAGATTGATATATTGGAAATATACGGCTAGACAGGGTCAGGTGACGAGGTTGTGGCTCAAATGCTGCAAATCATGTACAAATGGTGGGCTGTGCCTTCCCAATGCCGTAAATAGCGTACAAATGGGAGGCTGTGCCTCCCAAAATGCTGCAAATAGCGTGCAAATGCGAGGTTTGGAGGGTAGAGTGGGGAGACCATTTCTCGAGCCAGCATTTCTAGCCCAAGAATGTCGAACCAGTTGTGGGAAAGTGGGGAGTACCATGGTATCGCAATCCACTGGTTCATCATATTCCCCTCAAAAAGTCCATCTTGTGGGGTGCCCATTGACACACCAAGCACTAAGAAAGGCACCAAGAACCCCACATGTTCGACGGGGAAGGTGGGAACCCTGTCAGGAAGCAGCGGCGGCGGCCAAATCCAAGAAGGAGGAGGCGGATCAGGTGTCTTGGATATTCATGAGGGCAAACGTGGGTAACTGGTTGGTGGTTTGGAACATGAATTTTATTTTCCATATATTGGGAATAGTAACCCCAACTGACTAATATTTTTCAGAGGGGTTGAAACCACCAACCAGGTAGCTATTTTTACTATTGGTATCTATTGTTTTTCTTCAATCGTTGGAAAGTAGTAGTAATCATCGGTAGTTTTAGTGTTGGATGTTGGTAACTATTGGTAACTTTGACACACATACAGTAAGTTTGTAAATCATGGGATTTTAAAGGGATAAACCATCTGCCAACTGGTGCAGGATTTCGCAACCATCCACAAAATGGGGGGAGGCACCGTACAAGAAGTTGGATCCCCAACTTCTTTTTGTTGGTGTTTTTAGATCCATTCAGCTGTAATGATCCCTTCCCTCAAGTACCCTCTGGTAAACTAACATAACTATGGAAAATCACCATTTTTCATTGGAAAATCCACTATAGATGGTCATTTTCAATAGCTACGTTAAATTACCAGAGGGTAGTAGGGAACTTCACGCAGAAATCTAGGGGGATGGGATTCATCAGATATCATGGGAGTTGTGTTTTTTTTCAACGGGATTTCTTACGGGACACGACATGGAGATTCGTTTCATGGCATATACCCTCTGGTTATGACGAACATAGCCATGGGAAATGGCCCATTTATAGATGGTTTACCTATTAATAGCATGGTGATTTTCCATGGCTATGTTAGTCATAACCAGATGGTAATGGAGATCAATGGGATGTCATGGGATAGAAGGGAGATATACCTGAGCAGCTGACAAAGGAACACTGGCGTTAATGAGATACTGGTTGGTGGTGACTGGAACATGGTGGTTAATAGTGATGGTTAATAGTGGTTAATAGGCTATAAACCAACAACAATGGGAATATGATGGTTATACTGGTTGGTTTGGAACATGAATTTTATTTTCTATATATTGGGAATGTCATCATCCCAACTGACGATTCGTCATATTTTTCAGAGGGGTAGGGCTCAACCACCAACCAGTAATTTTCATGGGGAGAGAATGTCGAGATAACACACATCAGGATGCTACCAGCCAGCAGTGACTCAAAAACCCGTGAAGGATGAGATCATATCACTGGCTCGTCACTTCATGGAGATCTAGGGAAAAATTGAAAACGATCTGTAATTGGATTATGCGAACCCCCCAGTTGATTGATTGTTTTGATGGAGATTTGAACAACATTTGTAGGAGACTCAGCCATAAAAAAACAACAAGGGATATGATTGATGCATGATGGGTTGTTGTTGATGAATTCGAGGTTTAGACATCTGCCCTTTAAAAATACCGACCTCACTGCGACCGAGCCCTGGAAATCATGGTTTATTTTAGGGAAATCATCCCCATAGCTGGCCGCAAGATTCAGGTTAGTGAAATAATATAATTTACCCATATATATATATACATATTTATTATATATATATAATTATATATATATAATATATATATACATACTATTCTCCAATAGTTCTTTCACAATGTGCAACTGACATGATTTTGACTGGGTCGCCACACTTGGTGCCTGGTTTTGATGAGTTTAATGTGGTGATCTGTCACAGTTTGCGAACTGGAAAACGGCCCATTTACTTCGATGATTTGCCTAGAAAAAATGGGAAAATCACCATGTTTAATGGGAACATCCATGAAAATCCACTATATATGGTCATATTCTATAGTTCTGTTCAATGACCAGAGGCTATTTGGCGAGTTTTTGTGGATGAATATGTGGTGCCACCCACTGAAATCAAGTGAACTTTTCTTTGAAGGGTACTCCGCGCGCTGTGCAAAATTGGTTTGCCGTGGTGTGAAATGATCACACTGCTTGGTGGTTTGGAACATGGTGGTTAATAGTGATGGTTAATAGTGGTTAATAGGCTATAAACCAACAACAATGGGAATATGATGGTTACACTGGTTGGTGGTTTGGAACATGAATTTTATTTTTCCATTTTTTTGTTGGGTGAATTTCATCATCCCAACTGACGATTCGTCATATTTTTCAGAGGGGTAGATTGAAACATTTGAAACCACCAACCAGATTGCATTGCCAATAACAAGTAAGCCATCCGAATCTGGGAGAGCTAAGACAACCTGGGGGATTTTTCACGAATCGTAACTGGTTTTGCGAAGCCTGGTGATTGTTCCAGTGCTCGTTCGAGCCCAACGTTTCGACCGTCTCGGCTGGGGGGTCGCTGAGGCTGAAAAGACCTCGAACTCCAAGAGCTCCAAGGCGCGGCCGGGTTTGGTGGAGGATTTTGCCTCAGGAACCGTAGGAAAATGAAGATTTACCCATGGTTTACCATTGGGAAAATGGTGATTTCACCAGCAGAAATGGCATTTTTTTTTTTTTCCGAATCACCAGGAATCCCTGTGTGGAGGATCATCCCATGATTCGCAAGTGGTAAATGGGCTTTCTTCACCCAGTTATGGAGCCACCCTTCAGGGGACTTAGTAACCAGGGTTATTAAGCAGTTAATAGCAGTTATTAAGTGGGATGATCTTCCAAATGGGAAGTAGCAAATTTGGTTGCTAATGGTTTATACTATTACTGTATACTATTGTATACTGTATTATAGACATAAGGGGATCTAACCTAAGTATGGGGCAATAAGAGTAGCTTAGTGTTTTTTTCTTTATAAATGGGGTAGCTTTCTCACAGGAGATCTTTTTTTTTGCATCGGTAGTGACAGACACATGAGATGATTCGTTTGTGGTTGCACGGCTACACTCATGGCTGGTTACATCCATCGTTCATAAAAATTCATTGCAAATGCTCCTGAAAAGCCACCACCATGTTAGCGTTTAATGGTTTCTTCCGGTCGAATCATGAAAAATGGCAGAGAATCCATCATTTCTTGGGATTTTCCATTCAAATCATATTCATTTTGGCAAAAAACCAGCAGAATCCTTCTGTGGGTTGAATTGAGGGAACAAATGCAGGAAACCATTGCTTTCACCATCATGTTTTTTTCCTGCAAGTGTTTCCTTTTTCCAGTTGGCTTTGTCCAAAAAATCTGGAAACCCACAGACCCCATGTTCAAAATCCATCTCATATTTTTGTTTTCATTTTGTTAATTATCTTCAACTTTAGGGTAAATCTGCATATTTTAGGCAGGTCAAACTGGGACAATTTCTGCAGATCTTCTCCGTCCCAGGCCAAGGACCTTGAAGAGAAAGCCAAGGCGGGGCGTCATCGGCGGCCGAAGTTGGGCCGCTTCAAAGGTCTGGTGGAGTTCATGGTCTATTTGTGGGTTTGAAAGGAATAATGGTAAAACAATGCCACAAACCACCCATTTGGGAATAGTAAACATACCACCTATAAAAAATGGTGATGACTGCGGGATGGTTTATGACATTGTTTTACCCACATCAGTCCATTTTTAGAAAAACATGGGTATATACTTGATGGATATGGGAGAACTGACCATGGTGTATCAAAATAAACGATTCGTTTGCTCAACTGGGGCAAGTCTTAGCGTTACCGAGAAACTGGACCTGTTTTCCTTCAGGCGATAGCTCAGGGGAGCAACAGATATGACCAAAATCGTAGAGTCATAGGTCATATTTCCGAAAAAAACCATAGGTTTTTTCCGTGACACGGCGAAAATCATGCTGCAAACTTCAGGTTGGGACCTTTGGGCTATGGTTAAATGAGAGAGATCCCCACGTTTGGCGCCATGGGCGCTATTTTGTCTCTTGTGGTGTTTGACCCAGACGTCTGGAGTCAAGGTTCCAGTAAGTGGGGTGATCAAAAACCCATTCCCCTCTTGCAAAGTAACAGTTTGCTAAGGTTAGACCGTTAGACCCAATTTTGGTCTGTATCGTTTTCTGCTCGTCTGTTAGACCCAAAGTAAACGATACAGAACGATACAGACATCAAGAGAGCAGCAAACGCTACCCTCTGGTAAACTAACATGATTATGGAAAATCACCATATTTAATGGGCAAATTCACTATTATAAATAGCCATTTTCAATAGCTATGTTTGTTTACCAGAGGGTACTTTGCAAGTTGAAGTCCCAAAGTTAGACCCAATTTTTTCACCCCACTTGACATCCCACGTGATGCCCAGGTCCAAGTTTCGATGTGCTGAACGCTTTTTTTCCGAAAATTTTCCCCCAATCTTTGGAGGTTCCTTGTTTTCTGGTGCCAACGTTCCCAAAAAAAGTTCTACTCCACCATTTTATTGACCCTTAGTTCGGGGATTTCCCAGGCATATTTTTTTGGACACCGCACCGTTAAACGGGTTCGTTTCATCGGTCGTGTCAGGCAAAAGAAGAAGAAGCCAAGCGAGCAGCCAAGGAGGCATCGAAGCGGTGAGATTTTCGATTGGATCTCCAAATCCGTCCTTGGAAATATCGGAGAAAATGAACAATAAAACATGGATTAGATCAATTAATCATTCAATAGATAATGATAATAGATAATGAGGTAATGGCAATATGTTCATCAATGGAAGGTACCCTCTGGTAAACGTTTACAGTTTGCGAACTTGAAAATGGCCCAGTCGAAATAGTGGATTTACCCATTAGTAGCATGGTGATTTTCCATAGTTATGTTAGTTAAACATGGATTAGATTAATTAATCATTCATCAAACTTTAGATTCGTTGATTTTTTTTGGAACATCCACCCACACTTGACCCAGTTGGGAATGTTTGAACAATTCATCCCAGGTGTTGCGTTGCACACGCACAGGAAAGCAGGTTCTTCCCTTATCACCATCATTTCTTGGGTCAAAATCCTATGATTTTGACTGAAACACTTCAAAGTCACAGGATTTTGACCCAAGAAATGACTTACCCTCTGCTAAACTAACATATAACTAACATAACTATGGAAAGATCCACCATGCTATTAGATCGGGAAGATCAACTTCTTGAAGCACAAAAATCACTCACAAAAAATCACTCCAGTGACCAGTTGCTTTGCCAACTGACCCCAATGAAACGGTGGGATGGTCCCCACAAGCCATTGAAAAAGCCAGGTAAAAAATGACCATTTGAGGCACGAAAAAAATCATCTCCAGTGTATCATGGCTATGGAAAATTCATCATCTCCAGTGTATATCCTATTAATCCTATGGAAAAATATATCAAAATTATAGATCTGTACATCCCATTCTGCTAGTCCCAATCATGGTGGGATAACCACAAGCCATGAATGTTTGTCAAACCAATAGAGATGTGCATTCTGAATTTTGATCTTCATTGCCAAAAAGCATGATCCCTCATCCCTCAACGGAATTGATGGTCTCGAAACGTGTTGGAATGGCAAACACATTTTTTTTTTGTTTTTTTCGAACTATTTAGTGCATGCACCACCATCACATGCCCCAACCCCATACGGCCCATACCCATCTATTTTACTAACATCAAGAAAATATAATCAGATTTCTGACTCAGAATATGGATAAGTTTGAATCGATGGAATAATTTGTTTTTTTCTTTCTTTGGGGGGAGGTATGGTAACTTGCCAAGATATTTTGCACATCCTAGCCAGAACAATATCATGATAATATTGTTTCATACAGCAATGATCGAGCTTTCATCGATCCAACTATTTTCATATTGTGGCTTAATTAACCAAACATAACTCGCATCCAAGTAACATCACCATTTCGAGCCCTATTATTTAAGCTGATAACACAGTCGAATGCTTCACATTATATAGAGCTAAGTATCAACTTAAAGTTCAGACGTGTGGATATTGACTTCTGGTCATGCAACTATCCAGGTAACCATTCAATAGTTAATAATCAGTTAATAGTAACGATAAATTCATAGCTAGTTAACAAAAATCAGTTTAATAAGGTTGTACCGTTGTACCCCTCCAAATTAACTCAGACCCTGAACATAGCACTTGTTAAGTGGAAACGATTTTCTTCCAACCCCCAACTCATGACAGCGTTAATTTCTGGGAAGGTACTTGGAGGACCCACAGAAAAACGCTGAACAACCCTGAAGACTAAGTTGCCATTCAGTATTTGTAGGTGATTCCCTCCAACAAAAACTGGCCAAAAAAGCCAGGCTACGAAGCACTTATGACATTTATGAGTCATGGGATGATCCTCCATAACTAATTCCGATGGATTCGGCCATATTTTTTCATGCTTAAGTGGAGATAGATTAAAACCTATGAAATTACCATATTTTTTTGGGATGAACATCCAGCTATACCAGCTGTATTAGGATACGTAGGGTGCCGGGGTTTTGACTCATAGGCCTCATAGCCATATTTTTTCCTTGTGAATTCACAGATACACCCCAGCTCAAATAGTTTTTGAATAAATACCTATGGTTACCTCCCTAAAATTCGTAATTATAGCTCACCATTAAGTCACTAAGTCACCATCAATTCCCATTAAGTCACCATGAAATCACCATTTTTTCCCTCACTTTCCCGTTGTTTTCCTAGGCCGCGGATGCCAAGAGTGAGGCCTCGAAGGCGCGTGACGCCGCTGAGGCGCGCCTTGACCGGGTGTCATGGGGGAAAAACCACGGTTTTCAGTTGTCATTGAGTGAAGATGATGATGAACTATGGTATTTTTAATCGGATTTTAATGGGATTTTGAGGGGATTTTAATGGGATTTTGATGGGATTTTAATGGGATTTTTAATGGGATTTTGATGGGATCTAATGGTAAGTTTCTATGGTATTTTTAAGGGTTAGCCATCATTTTTTGCGACAAAGCCATGAAACATGGGATTTTGATGGGATTTGATGGGAATGAAATCCAAGAGACAGCGCGAAAGTGCCCGGGTCGCTGTCTCCTGTTGATCCATTCTTGTTGTGTCATTATACCAATGAACATACTCATTGATGTAGCCATATAATTACCAATTGATGTCATTGTTATGATGTATATGTAATATATATATATATACACGTATTATATTATATATTATATATTTAATTATAGTATATCTCCATTATACCATTACCCTGCTGTAAGTCTTGTTGCAGTTAAATACTATTAGTATTGAATCTTACAGTACATCTCATGAGTTCCCATGATATCATTGTTGTGGTTGGATATCTTCCCAGTACATATATATATATATGTAATATATATATATAGTATATGTAATATATAGTATATATAGTATACGTAATATATATATAGAGTATATCTAGTATATATAAATTTTAACATATCCCCGATATTTTCCCCTAGATATCTCCATGACTTCCCGCCAGGTGAAGGACTCGGAATACCAGGAGGCCGCCTCCGCACATCGCATGAAGCTACAAGCGGCGGAGAAGGCGGGTGGAGTCTTGGAATTTTAAGGGAAAACATGGGAATATCTGGGATTTTAAGGGAAAACATGGGAATATCTGGGATTATATCACTGGGATATATGATGATATATGATGATATATGATGATATATGTAAAATCCATGAAATTTCAAATTTCATGATATCGATGTATATATATATATACATATCTGGAATCATGGATATATATATATATATATATGGAATCATGGTTAATAAGGGAAATCATCCCCAAATGGCCGCAAGATTCAGGTTAGTGAAATGTTATAAATTTACCCAGATATATGTATATATATATATAAATTGGGAAACTATGGGAAACTATGGGAAAATCGATCGAATTTAGAATGGGATATTAATGTAAAATCTATCAAATTTGATTGATTGGATATATATTATATATATACACATGTTATATATATATACATGTTATATATATATATACCTGATCCCGTCTGCCCTCGAGACCTCCTCCGAATGGGTTGGGTCCCCCAGGAATACCCCTCTACCTTGTATTTTGCCGGTATTTGGTACCTCTTGGCATATCTACCCATGCAATGCACATACTAAAGCCAAACTCCCTACCTACGACCTGTTCCTACATATATATATATATATATGTATATATATATATACAATCCCTTATATACCCCTGATAAACAATCTTGCTATATCTTATGCCTTTATACTACCTATATACTATCTACATGCTTTATATTTACTATCTATGCGCTATCTACACAAAACCTATATACTATCTAAATACTATCTAGAGGCTATCTACAGGATCTATATACTATCTATATACTATCTATATGCTGCCTATACTCTATCCTATATTTCTACTACCTATCTTATATCTGTACTTTCTTATTTTTTTTGCATATTATATATATATATACATTTTTCAGTATATACCTATACATATCTAGTATCTTATACTATCTTGTGTCAATATAGCCCCCACACACCGGACCGCACCCACCCACAGGGAGCGGGGGAAGGGGAGGGAGAGAGAATCCCCACTATATGTACCCACTTATATACCTACTGTATATGTAAGCATGTTTGTATATATATATACATATCTATTCTTTACTTACATACCTACCCCACAGGAGGGAGGGGGAGATCACCGGTACGTATGTACCTATATGAGCTCATATATGTAGGGATCATCACTACCTTTGTACCTATATATGCTCACATATCCCTATAGACCCCATGGATCTGTAGACCT